GGGGACGGACAATTTGGTTGCGCAGAGGAAAAGATGCCATCTGGGCATGGTGAGTAGGATATAAACTAATTGCATGACATCATGATGGTGTCATGCTTGTGTCACGTGGCACTCACAATGGCATCTGACTTTTTTATTTTAAAGAATTGATAGATCCAACTGTTGTGATCATTTGGACACTGTTTGAACGGGAAAAAGATTGATCCAACGGCTGAAATTGAAATCCAACAGTTAAAATAATTTATTTTATTTTTCAATTATTTTTAATTAAAATTTTGCTGGAAAAAAATAGTAATGAAATTTATTTATTTTTACATCAAAATGTGTCTTTTTTATTTTATGATTAATCAGAGAATAAATTAAAAAGAAAACATTACTTATAGTAATTTAATTAATGTTTTACTAAATTGATATGTAAAAAAATGTCCAGAGTGTATTTTATTGACGTTGCTGGAATGCAGAGAAATAGGAGTCAAAACACTGTTTTCATATCGACGGAGTCCGTTTTTGACATTTGGACTCTTGCACCACTCCAAATGGTCTTATGGTTAGTATGCATGCATGTGTATGTGCGGATGCATTATTTGTCTCCTCCTTCATTATTACTCTTATTATGTCCACATACATTGTACCATCCAATATTTTTACTACTACACACCATTTTATTATTAGGTACGAGTACTTCGTGTAAATATTTGGTTGATAACTCAACTCTTTTAACATTGTTATTTTGTGTGGTATTTTTGTACACATTTTATTTACTCATCTCTTTGAATCAAAATGTCACTTTTATTATTGAAACATTTTTATCTGATAAAAAATGTCATCGATGTTAAAATTTTATATGTTTCACTTACTTATTAAAACGTCACTTTCGTAATATTTTATCTGACTATTAAAATTTATTTATTTTTTTAGTTAAATTTTTGGAGTGTCACAAATTGTCTCCTCCCATCCTTTACTGATGTGAGTTGGTTTGAAGTTTGACTCTTTGGCTCCATTTGTGGATATGCCTTAGGGGATGTAAAATTGAAGTATAGCATATTCCCTTTTTAGAAAATTAGTTCCATTGGCTAATTTAAATTTATTTGCATTCGCTAATTGAAGTGTTAATACAAAGTGTTAATTTTTGTTGAAGTGCTAATTGACTAATTAGTCTGAAGTGCTAATTGACTCATTCAAAGTGTTATTTACTATCGTATTAAGCTGTAATAATTTTTGCTGTATATAACTGGACGCAGGATGGTGGGTGTCGATTCTTTGCTTGGAAGGATGACATTGGTAGTCAAGAAGGAAATCCGAAGTTAAGGTTGAACTAAAAAATGATAGTAGTTCCTGCTGATTGAGGAATTGAAAGCACTGATTTGTGACATGAAAGCTGATTGAACTAAAAATGTTCGTGGTGAAGTGTGTGAGTTAAAAACTGAAGGGAGCCGTGTTCGTGCTGAAGTGTGAGACTTAAAAGTAGCAGTGCAATGTGGAATCGATGAGAAGAAGCTGAAGTATATAAGTGTAGTCTACATAACATTTGCAGTGTCAATGGCTATGTTGTTTTGTGTTCCTAAAGGAATGTAGTGATGTAGTTGTGTAATTCAAAAGTATTCGGGTAGAATTTTCCACTTGAACTAACTAACAGGGGACTGACACCAAAACACCCACAAAGGGGTCCCGCACTCCGAACGGGGTACCCGACCGGGGGATCAGCAAGTGGTAACTGCATTTAATGCTAAAGTATATATGGCGGTAGCAAGTAGAGGCATGGGTGCACTCGTGGCAGAGGTAACAGCCTACCGGGTTCGGCCACATGTCCATCTCACCTACCCCCCCTCTAGTATAAATACCTGCATTTGAATACATTGTAAGGGGTTAGCAATTTAATACTCAGAGCTTAGCAATAGAATCATCTCTCTTGTTCTTGTATTTGAACTCATACCGACAGACCGTTCGGGTAGTTTCTTTGTAATCGCAGAATTACGTAATACAAGTTAGCTTTTGAGTTCATTCCCGGTTCACTCTTATATTTTATACACCTTTTAACCAAGACACACGTCCTTAATATCCAAAGCGTGTGTTGGGCCGTTAGATCTACGAGACTTAACCTCAACAGGAACCATTCCACATGACTTGAGTGCCTACAAGACAAAGAAAATATGTTATATGGGGAGGGATGGGTGGACATAATGAAGGAAGGGGGCTGCACATGACTTTTGAGACAAACGTTGCAAGGACCCTCCTCCATGTGTGATTGATCCACATGATGCCAACCAAGCCCCATATCCATTTATTTCACTCCACGCAACTTATCGAACCATATTGAGAGGCATTAGAGCATTCCCACAAACCCCCATTCATACTCCCAATCTTAAAGAAGAAGAGAGTTACACAAAATCAAAGAGAGCAAGAAAAAGGAAAATTGTCCGCAATATTAATTCTAGTTTGTGGGTTACTTGTTCACTTCATATCATGAGCTTCAATCGTCCAAAATAGGCGTGTGAGTCCCGACGAATAGAGTCATCCTCACACATATATCGTCCAAGTCCTCCAACGAACACATCTTCTTAAATCCTCTGGGTTAGGCCCAACCCGGAGCTCAGTGAATCCATTGTGCATGGGTGTTGCATTGGACAAGCGCGAACCCAAAAGAATTCAAAAGAGTTATAGTGAACTTGAGACGGATTGAAAGGGTGGCCAATCCGGGGGTGGCACGTAGATGAGCCAACGGTGGCGTCGAACCAACTCTCGTCGTCTCTTCAGCATAACTCCGACTAATCCACTGCGGCGAAACACAAAAACATCTCCAAAGCTAGCTTACTCCTTACGCTTTTGGCATCAACCATGTCCTCCCCTCTGACCACCCCACCTGGCATTGGCAACCACCCGGGCACTAGTGACTAATATAGTCAACCGTCGGCTACTAATTTCCATTGATAAATTGTCTTCCAAAAATACAGCCTCCAAAGCTCCAATTTCGATTCATCTATGGAAAGGTTGGTGAACTCGAGTACTCTTATATCCTCTGTGCTTCTAAAGTCATCTCCACCAACATCTAACATTTTGCTTGTCGTCTATATACTTAGTTGTGTGCTAGATTAAAACAAAGTTAAATTTATTTTGACAAAATTCCCTAAATAGGAGTAAAAATGTTTTGAAAATTTCAAAATAAGAGTATTATGTTTTTTATTCCCTAAATAGGAGTAAATTTATGTCAAGTTTGGCATTACAAGTCCTTTAAACATGTCATTTTTTCCCAAACTTGGCAGATTACTTCTATTTAGGGAATAAAAACATGATACTCCTATTTTGGAATTTCAAAACGTTTTTACTCCTATTTAGGACAATTTTTTATTTATTTTTAGTTTTTTATTTTTTAAAGATTTTTATTATGTAAGTTTTGGTTGTTATGTGTATCCGTCAGGATATGTATCCGAAATTTTAAAATAATTACCACAAAAGTTGGAAACATTTAATAAATTAAAAATACTGTCCGAGATCGTAAGGTACGTATACGGTGTATCCTAGAGTATTTGATACGCGGACGTTTCCAATACGTCGATACGGTATCCTAAATGTTCCAAAACGACAACTCAGACGACAACAATGTTAAATTACTAGGGCATAACAGGAATTAAAATTTAGTATGAAAATGAGTGCATTTAAGTTTAACTACTAAGTAGCTGCTAGCTGGGTGTATTCAAGGTACTCGAGTATAATATTGGGCAATTCTAATGGCAGCCCTCTTTTTGCTATACCAAGCCACATCTTCCGTAATACAAGTTTTAATTCCTATTATAGCCTTGGTGGCTGTAAACTCTAAAGCAATACGGAGAGTCGGAAACTTTCAGAAAGAATACTTCAATCTTGTTCTTCTTAATTAGTTTATATGAATTGAATTTTGACTTCCAATAAGTTTATTTTGATTCTTTATAAGGAGATGATAATCAAGATCTCTACCGCCATGCAAGCGGCGGAACGGCCCTGGGAGACATATGTCCGGTCGCCGACAATGTTTTCATTCACGACCGGGAAGGTGACGACTTAGATGCGATGAAAATCTGACTTACATCAAGATGAATAAGATCTCCATCAGCTCCTTATCCCTGAAGAGAACCTCTCTTTCACGTGAATTAAACTTCCAAAAATAAAACATTGTTCCCCAATTGACATTAATCAATTCAATACTTACTAATAAAGAATGAATGAGCAGCTAAAACCATAAATTTCCCATTTTGGAGAATCAATACCAGCCCAAAATCAAACACATGGAAGATATACTACGTAAAATTGAAGATGCGACGAAGATGCCGCCAGGGAATTTCGCCTGGCCATGCCTAGAATTCCAAGCTCATGTTCTTTGACGTCGACGGACGACGGCGGCACTGCCGCTCCCGGAATACAAGTTCACTAAGAGCCCGTTTGGAGACCCATTTTTTCGGCTTATCAGGCTTTTCAGCCAGCTTTTTCACCAAACACGTAATTTTTACTTTCGCGTGTTGAATTGTGTAATAAGCAGAAAAAGTAAGGTTGGAGTTACTTTTCTGGCTGTATTGGCTGAAGTTCTTGTAGATGACCATTTTAGCTATTTTTACATGTAATTTTTTCTTTATTTTATTAATAAAATATATTTTTAAAATATTGTTTTCTAGAATCAGCAGAATCAGCCAAAACAGCCACTTCAGCCAGAACTTCATAAATTTCAGCAGAAACAGCCAAAACAGTCGATTTTCGTGCTACCAAACGGGCTCTAAAGATGATTGTGTTATTGATAGTTTGGACTACATGGAGGACTTCATAAAGGGAGATGAAGGCCGGTGGGATGTGTACTGCTCTGTTTTTAAGAGCTCAGATGGTTTTCAAGAAGCTTAAGGGTAAATTTGTAAAATTAATTAATTTGGGTACCCTATAATATTTTGCCGACCACAAATTACAGGAGCCCAAATCCTTTAAACCCAAATCAATGGGCCTATGCTCCTGGAACAAAAGTACGCTGCTGAAACAAAACGGTTAAACCCTAATCCCTCATAATCACTTGGCCTGCAAAACTCTTTGACGTATTGTGTCTTCCGCATTAATCATTATATTTTGACGATTTCCAATGCACATAATTATGCATTACACTTTGAAACGTGAAACAGCTTGATAATACTTTGGAAACACGGCTAAAGTGTATTCTTGGATAATTATGCACAGGTAATTGTGATTTCTAGCCAGCAATAAATTGACAGTTTATGAATCCAAAATATTTTTAAAATCTGAGTCAAGTTTCATTCTATTAATTTGTGAAAATTGATAAATTTATGATGAAGTTGTTAACAATTACTCCTTCCGTCCCGCTATGATTGTCTCATTTTACCATTTCGGTCCGTCCCACTAAGATTGTCACATACCTTATTTGGTAAAGTTTGTGTGGTTCTAAATCATTCATACTTTATTCTTACTTTATCAATTCAATACCAACCACATAAACTCACTTTTATTAATAATCGTGTCACCTTCTCTTGTCTCAAACTTAGGGGGACGGAGGTAGTAATACGGAGTAATACCTTATGACAGTGTAGTATGATAAACTACGTTAATTGTTACTTATCTTCTCATTAGACAGTTTAGTAGGATATAGATAATCAATTCCAGTTCTAATTTTTACAGGACCAAAAAGTTTGCATGGAAAACACGGACATTGTCCATGTTTTCTTGTGGCCTGGCGCTGCTATTCAGGCTTCTATGCACCTTTGATCGTCTTTCCAACATCTTTGAGAAGGTTGAACTCGTACTTCAAGGCTGCCACTTGCTTCTCACGTTGATTGAGATGAAGTTAGAGAACAAGCTAACTAAATCTCCCTTGGAGTACGTCGCTGTCCTATCATCAGCCATGCTCATCCACCGCAACTTTTACGGAGGATCCAAAATGTGGGAGTTTGTCGATGCCACACATTTTTGCCTTCAGAACTTTGCTGCCGGAGTCCACACTGTGTGCTGGCTGAGTGGTGTTATAGCCCTATACAAGCATGTGGACCATCTTCACAAGAGCGAATAGGCATAGAACTGATAGAAGCAATAGATCTTCTAATGTATCTTCTTATCTTTCTCCTACCTAAAGCAACTTTAGGGTTTATTTGGGATTCAAGTGATAGCACTAATATGAATGTGGCCTTCTGCACATTTCATATGTTTTTCTGATTTTGCCGTGAGATTTATGGATTTATGCTCTAGTTGGAAAGATTGGCCAAAATATTAAATAAATTGATGAGTCCTAAAAATTAAAATAGTAAGAGAGTCGTATGCATATGAAAAACTAGTGGAGTTCTTAAAGGTTGTGCACTTGTGCAATGAATGATGCTGACATGTGACTGCTCAATTGGCAAGCCCAATCAAATCCTTTTAAATGTAATGAAATATCGAATCATCCACATCTATTATAAATTCATAATTTTCATTTACGTTATGATTAGCTTAAGTAAATTGAAGTCAAGGGGTCTTGCTTCACACTTTCCTCTTCTTCTGAAGCCGGAGAGCTTCTTCGTCTGTTTTTGGGCCTTGACCAATGACCATATTGATTATTTTGATACACAACTTCATCTCTACCATCAACTGATCAACATCATCATCCTCATTTTCATTATTGTCATTGTTAAGTACTACCTCCGTCCCACTAAGATTGGGACAAGAGAATGTGATGCGATCATTAAGAAAAGTGAGTTTGTGTGGTTGATATAAAATTGATAAAACAAATATAAAGTAAGAATGATTTAGAACCACACAAACTTTACCAAATTCGGTATGAGATAATTTTAGTGGGACTTTCCGAAAAGATAAAATGAGACAATCATAGCGAGACGGAGGGACCGAGGGAGTATGTATCTAGGGGTGGACCGGGCCCGGTTCAGACCTAGGCTTGGCAGGGCTTGGGATTGTTTTGTGTAAGGCCTGGGACCGGCCCAAGAGTCTACCGATTCCGGGCTAATAGGCCGGTTCAGGTCTGGGTTGGTTCAGTTTTTTTGGAGTTTTCTTATTTATTCGATCCCCCACCCCCCAAACCCCTCGAAAACACCCAGCCCAGCTCACCTAAACCCAGCCCAAACCCAAAACTCCACAAAAAAGAGCCCGAATCGGGCACAGACCGGGCGGGCCGGTCCGCAATTTTCAAGTCGCGGACCCACCCCCGGAATAGTCATCGGTCCGGGCCTAAGCCCGGTACCAATCACCCGAGCCAGGCCGGTCCCGCACAGTAGCGGGCCAGGCCGGTTCCTGGGCCGGTCGGACCGGACCAGCTCCATCCCTATATGTATCGCTATCTTCATATCATCATCGTCTTTGTCATCATTGTTGTTATGAGTGTGACACTGTGACCTTTGTTGTTTCCACCATCATCCTCTTCTTCATGTTCACCACGTTTTTTGGTATTGCCTTGATCATTACTATCACTCTCGCCTGCTGCAAGGGTGTCCTTTTCATTCTCATTGGGGTTGTTTTTCCGAACTTCTCCTTCCTCACCATCAATGCCCGCATCAACCCAATTCTCACCTTTGTGGAGTTGGCCTTTCATTTAGAATTGGCTCATTGCCATATTACATCAAATGTGTTCCAAAAGCTGTTATTGTTAGTGCTATTCGTCCTTTCAACATGGATAATCACGGGCCAGTAAATTAGTTTATTGACTCTTCGTATGGGGATTAAGGTTAACTGATGAAATGGGGCCACACAAAAAATTGACATCCAAGTATTTACTATTTACATACTCCCTCCATCCAGAATTTTTTACAAAGCCAATATATTTTGGTCAAAATTAAAAAAGTTAATCTTCCTTATTGATAATTAATTCAATTTTTAATAATTAAAATTTACATATTCAGAAACTATATTAAAATCTTTTCAAAGTTGTAAACTCCAAATTAAAATATAATTAAGAATTAGCATTCTAATTAAAAAAATAAAATGAAATTATTTTATACAAAAAAAAGTCAAATTTGCAAATAGGAAAAACTTTACAGTGATTAGGGATGACAATGAGGAGAGGTTGGGGCGGGGGTTCACTCCCCCATCCCCCGCCCCCTGTGGTGGATTTACTATAGGGGTAGTGGGGGTAGTTGCCTCCTCTCAACCCCCACCCTACCCCTATATATATTTAATTTACAATTATATGTATATTTATATGCTAAATATGACATTATATACTGTAAGTACGAAACTCATGCCTTGTTTTATTTTTTCATTCCTTTTCTTGGGTGATTTTACATAATTCTATCAATTTTTCTCAAATTTGAAAGATTAAACTACTTCATTACAATTTTTGTTTATCATACTTCTTTTTTTCTTTTTTAATTGTAACGATTCAATTTTCGCGTTTGTCAACGCACATATTTAACAATTAATATCTATCATTCCTTATTGATGAAAAATAAAAAAAATTCTGATTTTGATAATTTAAAATGAGAGAAATTAACCATTTTTTTCAAAAACTTAATTTGTTATAGATTAATAAATAAAATGTAATCAAAGTAAAATATGTGAATAGTGAAAAATCACCAATGTTGCAACTAAAAGTCTAAAAGAGAATGAAAGTAGTATAATTTATAATTTTGCAATTACATTTTTATTCTAAATAGAAACTGATTTTTAAATATAATTTTGCATTCAAAATTTACATTAATACTAAATGCAAACAATATTCATCCGGTATTCAACTCATCTATTTTTTAACATATTTTAGAAAAATTAAAAAATTTATGATTAATTTACTTCTGAAATTTGTTTAATACTTTTTCATGTTTTTTCGTTGAACAAATATTTTATTATTTATACCCAACTTCACAAAAAAAATTCATTTTATGCAATTGTATGTGACATGATTAAGAAAATATGTGATCTAAATTCGCTCCACTCACTATAATTCATGGATCAATTAGATATATCAATATTATTCTATAGACGGCAAGTGCAAATCTTGTTCAGTATGCTCGGAGTAAGCACATCCTGATTAGTGGCGGATCCAAGAATACAATGTATTGGGGGCAGGATTCAAGTCATTCAACTACTATCATCGATTTTCATCTTTTAAAAGTGATTTACTATAATTTCATTTGTAATTACATTAGTAATTAGTATGTATGATACTCTCTTTTTTCACTTTGTAAGATGCACTTTCTTTTTTTGAATTGTCCCACATAGGCACATATATGAACACTTTCCTAAATTGAACACTCCATTTTTTTACTTTATCTATTTATTCATCATTTCACTCTTTACCTTTTATGAACACATCTTACTTTTTCTTTCTTTGTGGAGGTTACAATTGTGAAATAATAACACTTTATTCTATATTTTTTTTAAAACTCTCATCCAACTTACATGTATATTACATTATGGGATGAAGATAATAATTGTTTTTATATTACGATAGAATTTTTATTTACATTACTGATGAAACGGTTAGTAACACAAGAGGAAGGGGGGGGGGGGGGGTAAATTGTGTGTGTCTGTGAAACCGTGACAGTTTTTCGCCAAGTTCTAGTGTTGGATAAGGGGAAATGCGAAATAGTAAAGTGCACAAGGATTTAACGAGGAAAAATCCCTTGACTCACAGGGATTAAAAAACCTCGACCTCCCTTGGAGGAATTTTAAACTACTTCACTAAAAAGTCTTTGAATGACTACAAGAGTAACTCTACTAGTCTACCCTTGAGCCACCCCAACTCTATCCTCTCTAGGAGGAGTTATGCAACTCTACCTTTCGGGTAGAGAGCCTCGATCTCAACTTTACAACAAAGCTCTCACCACACACTTTACCCAACCTGAGGAAGCTACACGTAGCTAATCCTCAAAACCCCGATTACAATATAAAAGGGAAAAGAAGAACTCTATCTAGAACTCCAGTTGCAGTTTCAGGTGCCTTGGACTTGGTATTTCTCTCGGATATCTCTCTTTATATTTTCTCGGTCAAGCTCTGCCATATCTCTTTTGCTCCTTTGATTATATAGTCTGCCTTGGGATGAACCTGTTGGAGCCTAATTTCCTTGAATAGATCAAAGTTGATTCTTGTCTTGTTATAATTTAAATACTTTTCCATCTTGAGACTTAAGTCAACCGAACTCATATTGTCTCACAACACAAAGAATAATTTGCATAGTAGGAAGCAAGACAATAATTTATTATCCTACCATAATAAGGATGCAGCGGATCATGCCACCAAACAACTTTACACAATCTATTCAAATTAGTTAATCAAGAATAATCATTTATGTTAAGTAGATATTTTGCATGGCAAACAGGCAAAACATATATTTCGTAGGAGCTCTTGAATAATTGATTACCATGCTAAGCATATAAAAAATCATTTATTATTTTAGGCAAGAAAACCTTTACTAAATAAAGATCCTTTCCATAAAGATATTCAATCAACCTTTTCAAAATACAACATCAACAAGGTAATTGTAAGCAAGGATTCCTTCAATTAAGGTTAGTTTATAAAGGGCAATTTATTCATGCAAGTTGAATTTCAACTACTACCACGTAAATCATGCAGGCACCATTCTGTAGTTACGTAGTCATAAATGCTTAATCAGAACTCAGAGTAGTTCCATCTACTATTTTGTCAAGAATCCACCCTAGTGCATGCTACCTACATGGTTAGTGACAAAAGAGTTCTTTCCCTTGTTCATGTATGGTTAGTCATCAACAAAACTAAATAGTCAACCATTACTATGAGGGTGTTTGGAACTGATTCTTAAAACTGCTTCTACTCCTTCAGAGAGCAGAAGTAGAAGTTGGAGTGTTTGAGTGAAAGTGCAGAAGTATTTCCAGTGCTCTAATCTACTCCTAGAATCAGTTTTTTAGAAGCAAGGAGTGACCAGCTTCTGAAAACTAATTCTGATTCTACTTCTGTTTTAAAAAAGAAGCAGAAGCAGAATCAGTTCTAAACACCTCTATATAGTTAATTTTAAATTTTAGATTGCTACGAAATTGATTTTAACTGTACTGTGTACTAAGATTTTTATAAATTAGGATCAATCGTTTGCTTATTTAATTTATTACATGTTTCAAAAAAAATTACATCTCTAAGTCTTAGATAATTATATACTCCGACTAAAGTGGAGTACAAAGTATTAACCTCCTCTTTTGAACTCCGAAGTTGGAGATTTTGATTTTGCTGATAGATGACTTCTTCACTTTTTTTTTTACTTCAGGGGTCTGGGGGGCTTGGGGGAGCCTAGAGTAATCGGGACTGAAACTCGAGACTTCTCACTAGGCACGGTAACATCACAACCAACTGGGTTAAAATGCTTGGTTGATGACTTCTTCACTCTTTTGCGCAGTAACGCATCGTAGTTTTAATTTAATGCCTTGTTCGATCTTGCACTAGGCCTGGGACCGGTTTGGTTCCTAGGCAAAATTTGTAAAACCGTTTGAAAATATGAAATTTTACTAACGGTTCAATTCTTATAAATTATTTGATAGAACTCATAAGGAACCGTACCATTCTTAACGGTTCGGTTCTTGTCATTTAACGGTTCCTAGTCTTTAAAAAATTCTTACAAATCACGGTTAAATTTGTGTCAAAAAGACATTCAACGTTTGAAATTATAATAAAAATATGTTGAACATCATTTCAAACCTCAAAAGTTGAGTTTAAAACATAAAATACATAACAAACTTCATATTTTAGTAAACAAAACAAAACAATATATTCGCTAAAGAGGCCCTAGAGAACCGGTTAAAATGAAAAATAATTTTAAATAGTTAAATAACTAAACTAAAATAGTGAATGTAATATAAAAATAGATAAGTAAATACACATTAAAATATATATACTAATAAGAAATAAATATAATTTTAATTATCATATATAATGGTTCCATATACATATTTTTTTCAAGAGCTGAGAATCGGACCTTTAATAAAAAAAAGTAGGAACCGATCCATTAACAAATAACTAATAAATTATGGAACCGCACCGAACCGGATCATAACGGTGCGGTCTGGTTCGGTTCTCCGGTTCTTGATTTCAAAGTCCTGGCCCTATCTTGCACTTCTCGGTAAAGGTTGATCCTTTTTATCGTTTTCACTTTTCAGAACTCAACTTATTTTTACTTTTTCTTTAGGGATTTAAAAATCTATTTGTTGTCTAGTTTACCTTCTTTATTATTTTATTATTCTACTAGTGTTTTACCCAGGGGTTGCCTCGAGGTGCATAATGAAGGTTGCTAGAACAGTTCCCACACACACACTTAAAAGTAGAGAAGAAATACAAGTAGAATTTTAATTAAAGAGAAGCAAAAAAAAGTTGACATTGTAAAATATATACGTGTGAGTTGTCTAACACCAAAGACATAAGATATCACATTGTTAGGTTTTAAAAACGTCTTTATAAACAACATTGACTGTTTTGATAAAGAACCAATTTTCTTTTGAACAAATGAGTATCTTCAGACTATCTCTGCTCGTGTATGATTTAATATGTGATGGGTATATATTGATAGAGTTAAGTTTGTGGAATACCCTACTTTGTAGATCTTGAAAAAAAAATCCATTCTGAAATTAGCGATATATGTTATACATAGTATTTATTTAAGTTTGTGGAAGCATTAAATTTGTATGAAGCTAGATAGGAACGAAAAACTCCTATTATCATACCACTTATTATGATGGTAAAAATATTTGAATGGTAAGAATACCAAACTTGTACTCCGTATGTATTTAAGCGTGTGGAATCATTAATTATGTACATCTGGAAAACTTCTTATAATGTCGAAAAACTTTATATTACCATACTACACTTATTATGGTGTGTTTCCAATTATATTTCAACGTATTAGGGTCATAAGAATATAACCAAGCATTCCAACTCAGCTGGTTGTGCGGTTATCGTACCTAGTGGAAGGTCTCGAGTTCGAATCCCGCGAGCCACATAAGAGTTTGAAACTCAATGTAGTGAGTTTCAGCCCTGATTACTCCAGGCCCCCCAGCCCCCCGACCCCCTGGAGTATAAAAAAAAGATGATAAGAATATTTAAATAATTTAATAAGAGATGATTAACTAATATGATTTAAATTTATATTGGAGGCGTTCAATTAAAATATTGGAGAACATTTTATTTAATAAAAAATGATTGACAAAATGTGGAATGTAATATACGTAAAATAAAATGAAAGAATATTTCATACTGGTGTTAAACTATTCAGTTTGTTAACGGAGAAGCCAGTCACGTCGATGAACAATTTCAAATATTAAAAATTATGAATACCGCCTTATAATTTAGAGAACTAATTAATAGCAATATTTAATTTATCATAGTTAAATTTAAATTTTAATTCATAATTTGTAATTTATCAAAAAAATCAAAGCATATATCGAAGATGAACATGAATAAGGATCGTGAATTGATCATGCCTAGTGAATCCATATTTTGGAATGTGATACACGTATGCTGAATCTTTTGTTTGTACTACCTCTGTCAACATGAAGTTCATGTTCACTATTCATTTGGTTAACTTAAATCACTCCCCACCTTTTGCTTTATATATAAATTATTTTATCAAATTTTAATTTTCTTGATCAAGTTTCATAAATTTTTCAATGTAATTTCCGAACATATAAGTTTTATTGACTAAAAATAATCTCAGTGTGAACATGTATCGAGTTGTTTTATCGTCAGTCAAACACCGTAAAAATGATCTTAGTGTCAACATCAATTACTCGTATTTAATCTATTTCTTTTATTTGTATTTTTAATGATCTCATTAATTATTGGTAAAATAATCAAAATTCAAATTTCACAATGGAGAAACGAATTTAAATTGTGTCCACATTTATTTTTACGTGTGGTGAAATGTAGGTTTTAAAACGTAAGGGTTTTGAAAGGTAGTTAAGACGTTTGTGTTTTGTTGTTATTTTATTTTATGTTCTCTGGTTCCTCAAACTAGTAGCCCAATACCGGAATAGCTATGGGAGTGTTACGAAGGTGCGGCTACTGTGTTGGGTGATTTGGTAGATGCGTTGGGTATATAAGTATATTCGTGGGTACGGTGAATGAATGCTGCTCTTTTTCTCTACCAAGTTTGGCTTCCGGTAATGTTGGATGGGTTTGGACAATTGGACGTTTGATGCATCCCAGAAAGTGGGAGAGTTTCCAAGGCTACAATGCAGTGTGTTAGTTGGTATATGGAAAGGTGTCTATTTATTTTTTTATGATCCAGGTGTCGGTCGTTGCGCTCCCTTAATCTTGGAGTCCATTGACTACCCTCCAAAGCCTTCTAGACAAGTAAATCCGGATATGATCACAGTCAGCCTCGTCGGTACTGGTATTACAGGACGAATCCAGCAAGACTTCCTTTCAACTGAATGAAGAAGGATTTTCTTGGCCTTTCAACTGAATCCAGAAGGGTCCTCCCACCACGCGAACCCGAGCCTGAATTTTTCATCCCCTCCCTTCTTAGGGGCTGAGCGACTCCGTGAAGGTAGGAAGAATCATTGGGAGCAAGAGCCCTCCTCTTCCCTAAATGTGTCTAGCGGGAATCGAACCCGAGACCTTAGCTAGACGCGGTAACCTTGCTTCCAGTGGACTGGAAATTAAAGCTCGGTTAAGGTGTCTATTTTTTCGTATTCCTTTTTGTGAACTTGTGAAGTTCTAAAAGGCCAGGCCTCCTATTTACTTGTGGCGTATGATGATGAGAGATGCCCTCATTAGTTATTTGTTTAATCGAAAGCAGTTACAACTACGGAACTACCTTTATATCGGTTACATTTGGCTTACCATGTTCCGACTTAAACAAAAACTAGCATTTACAGTTATTTTGAAATCATATACGCAATATATAGTACGTGTGTAGATCTGTTAATGGAATGGATCACAAGTAATTTTGTTTACCTGAACTCAATAGCATACCCATTTTAAATTTTAATAAATGATTATTTAGGTAGGATTCCCAAAATATGAATAAAAATAATATAAACAGTATTTTTTCTAAATGATATCCATCTGTCCCATTATATGGTTCCCACTTTCCTTTTATGAACGTGTCATAAAATTTAATCATCAAATATTAAAAATAATATGCATATAACATCACAATTATCCTCAATCATCTCATTATTTTATATATGCATTAAAACTATTTCTCAAAATATATTGAGATTATCTTATTTAATTATTGTATGAATCATTGTGTCATTTCATATTGAGAATCTTTAAGCAGAACGAAGGTACTTATCTTCAAACGTGACAATAATTACTTATATTATCGAATAAAAATACTTCGTATAATACTCCAATTTTGGAATTTCACATTATTTTTACTCTTATTTAGGACAATTTCTTGTTTATATATGATACATGTGGTTTCATGTTATTTAGGGGATATTTGTAAAACATTTCAAAATTTAATTTTCAATTTTTGTTTTAAAAAAACTGGAATTGGTATCTCCAAGTGAAATTTTATTAAAATTAAACACTTTAATGTTGAAAGCTCAAAGCAAGTGAAGAAGGGATTTCAACTTCACATTTTGTAATACATAACAATCATCTTCATCAAGCACTATCAACCTTTACGTTTTTCAAAACTGTCTTCCTCTAACATCATCATCTCTTACCATTAAACACATTCTCTAAAATCAACTTAAAAGTAGTTTTTTAAGTAGAAACAATTACGAATACTCTCTTAAGACACATATCACTTTCAACTACATATGAATAATACACGATATTAAAGACATGCTGAGAAGCCATGAGATACTATGCATTATTACAGATTTCCATGTGTAAACTTTCAACACAAAATTAGTTGTCATCATTTCATATCGCAAATGATATTTAAAACTCAAGACAAAATATTTGAAATTGTAAAACAAAGAAATTGTACAAATACAATTTGATGCAACTTTAATTTTAAGAAGAGTATTTCACAAATTGAAAACTCAGACAAAAACATACTTCGTTTAACATAGTGAAACATGCACAATAATCTTATTGATTAGGAAGTTCACTAAATGTACTAGAAGTTGCTAAACTTTAGTACAAACTACAACTACAAACTACTCTCATGAACATAACTTCGTCTTATTAACAAAAAACTTGTCTTATGAACATCACCCCACACTAAACTATCCTAATCAACAATACAGATTGTTATTGCACGTGAGTAATTGAGGAAGCAACTGATCAAGTATCCAAGTATATTTATTAATAGCAAATCATAAATCACCAAGTTTCTAAAACACTGCAAATGTCATCTTTTATGATCGACTACTTAAATTGACTACCATTATGATGATGATGACGACGACGATGACGACGACGCCGATAATAAAAATAATAATAATAATAATAATATTCATCACCTCAATAATAATCATAATATTAACAATCATAATAAAAATTATTGTTATTATTATTATTATTATTATTATTATTATTATTTTATAATAATAAAAGTGTTAAATCATGTTTGAAATTTTTTGATCTGATCTGATCTGAATGCTTCTGATCTGATCTGGTCTGATCTGATCTGAATCTCTCTGATCTGATCTGAATGATTCTGATCTGATCTGATTTGAATAAAATAAGAATAAGCAATAAGCAATAAGAATAAGACGAACAGAACAACTTCTAAATTGTAACAAGTACTAAATCAAAAATCTATTATGTCAGCATACAAAATAAGTTTAACTTTACAAATTTAAAAATTTTAATAATCAAAACACCGAGAGCTCTTCTCATCAGGCCGGCCTGACGGGCTGCCCCGTCCGGCCGAGCCCGTTTGGGCACCTTCCCGGTGGAATTTTTTGATGAAATTTTTTGAGCATGTTCCTCATCAAGTCTAGTTTGTCCATACCAAATTTCAGCTCAAAATTCGATCGGGAAGGTCGTCAAATGATTTTTGCAAGTTAACTGGTCCGGAATATGTATTTTCCGGACCAGTTAACTTGCAAAAATCATTTGACGACCTTCCCGATCGAATTTTGAGCTGAAATTTGGTATGGACAAACTAGACTTGATGAGGAACATGTTCAAAAAATTTCATCAAAAAATTCCACCGGGAAGGTGCCCAAACGGGCTCGGCCGGACGGGGCAGCCCGTCAGGCCGGCCTGATGAGATGATTTCTCTCAAAACACCAACTAATTAGATCACAAGTTGTGTCCTCGTATATCCAATTTGTGTCCCACGATGGGGGAAAGAGTAATCTATTTAAAGCAGATACCGACGATTTCTAGAGGATCCATATAAAAGTGGAGCTATCATAACAAGGGTCCAAATACCAAGATTAATTAAATTTCAATTAGAGAACAGTTCAAGTCTTTAAGAAAACATACGTATATAGCAAATCAACGTCCTTTCCTTCAAGCTCCTCCCCAGGCGTGAAAGCATCTTTCAAAGCAGAGATGCGTTGCTCTGGATCTTCAATTGTGAGCAAGTACTTCAGTATTCTAATCTCTTTTGGCATAAGCCTTTGCATACTTCCTATTGCTGTTTTGTATAAATGGTACATAATGTCTTTTGCCTGATAAAGTTAAAAGGAAAAAGGTATTTGTTAGCCGATGTTATCATGTGACAATTCAAACGTGTACATATGTGTTCATAATTATCTCTTTGTATTGTAATTTAATATTAGCCGTAGTTATCCTCTAAATTGTTAGCACTTTATTAGGCTTATGATCAGCATATACAACAAACAATGTACCTAGACTAGTTTCTGTAAAAACAATGTAGGAGTTTTTACAGAAACTAGTCTAGGTACATTGTTTGTTGTATATGCTGATCATAAGCCTAATAAAGTGCTAACAATTTAGAGGATAACTACGGCTAATATTAAATTACAATACAATAAATTACAATACAAAGAGATAATTATGAACACATATGTACACGTTTGAATTGTCACAAGATAACATCGGCTAACAGTATTACATAATTAATCATCTTTTTGTGATCCGGTTCATTTTAGAGAAGAATTATATGTGTTGGTAGGAAACAAATCATGGAAAATTAGTTGTTGTGGTCATGACCTTATTTTCCTTTTGTTTATTACCTTTGTCCTATAATGTAAGATGCATGTGGGTTGGTGCAGGTTTTAAGAAAATTAAGGACATTTTAGAGAAGAATTATATGTGTTGGTAGGAAACAAATCATGGAAAATTAGTTGTGGTCATGACCTTATTTTCCTTTTGTTTATTACCTTTGTCCTATAATGTAAGATGCATGTGGGTTGGTGCAGGTTTTAAGAAAATTAAGGATAAAGTGGATGTTTTAAAATTCTGACCTCCAAAAGGTAAGAAAGACAAAAATGGATCCGCAAAAAGGTAAAAGGTGAAATGATAGATAAAAGGATAAAGTGGGAAAGTAAAAAGTTAGTGGAGTCTAATTTAAGAAAGTGTTCATATTTTTGGGACAACTCAAAAAGGAAAGTATATCTTATAAAATGGGATGGAGGGAGACTTCTAATTTTAATCATAATACCTCAGACATGGAATTTAGTGAGGATCATCCGACCAAAGCACAAAGACTCAAACTGAAGATAAAGAACAGACCGAAACATTCCTATAATGACATACCAGAAAGATTCAACCCAGGACCACCCAGGACCAGGACCCAGATCATTAAAAATTTAGATCAAATTCACATCAGATTAAGAGCCCGTTTGGTAGCACGAAAATCGGCTGATTTGGCTGATTCTACTGAAATTTATGAAGTTCTGGCTGAAGTGGCTGCATTGGCTGATTCAGCTGATTTAAGAAAAAATTATTTTTAAAACATATTTTATTAGAAATTAAAATAAAATTATACCTAGCATGTAAAAATAGTTTAAATGATCATATACAGTAACTTCAACCAATACAGCCAGAAAAGTAACTTCAGCCTTACTTTTTCTGCTTATTACACAATTCAGCTCGCGAAAGCAAAAGTTACGTGTTTGATGAAAAAGTTGGTTGATAAGTCTCATAAGCCGAAAAACAGTGTTTCCAAACGGCCTCTAACTTTTTTCAGATCTTTGAAAAATTAGATCAAATTCAAATCACACCACATTATCTGATACGAATAAAACATGTCCTTAAACAGGGAAAGGCAGAACTCACCTCAGTTTTTGTCATGTCCGACTCCTTGGCAGCTGACCAAGCTTTGGTAATAAGAAGGGCCAGAGCAGAGTCGATTTGATTCTTTTTTGCCAGGTCATCTATTTTCTCCACAAAGTGTTTCATACTCCGTAGTGTTTCATTTGCTCCACAAAGTAAATATACGGAGTACATGTGTCACATCTCTATACTTAGAAGCTGTTCTCTTCGCCTGATCTGAATGTTTCTGATCTGAATTTTTTAAGTTCTGATCTGATCTGAATTTTTCTGATCTGATCTGATCTGAATCATTCTGATCTGATCTGATCTGAATCTTTCTGATCTGATCTGATCTGAATCTTCCTGATCTGATCTGAATGTTTCTGATCTGGTCTGATCTGATCTGAATGTTTCTGATCTGATCTGATCTGAATCCTTCTGATCTGATCTGAATCTTTCTGATCTGATCTGATTTGAATATTTCTATGATTATAATTATAATTATAATTATTATAATTGCAATTACAAATATAACTTAAATAAAATTATAATTATAATCGTAACTATAAAAATAATAATAATAATAATTAAAATTAAATTTAAAATGAAAAAATTTATACATATTACACTAATTATAAATATAGATATAATTATAATTGTAATTATATTTTTAATTATAATTACTTATATAATTATAATTGTAATTATAATTACAATATTTATCTCTATAATTGTAACTATACTTATCAATATTATTATAATTACTCCGTAAAATAATTACAATAGTAACAATAATAATAATAATATTAATAATCATAATAAAAATAATAATTATAATCATAAATTATAACTATAATATAATTATAAGTATATTTATAATTAATAATAATTATAATTATATTAACATTAATTATAATATTATAATATAATAATAGTAATATAAATACAATTAATATTATTATAACGATATTATTATATTAATATTATTATTAAAATAACATAATAATAATAATAATATAATTAGTATTATATTATTATAATATTATATTATAATTATAATTATAATCATAATGATAATTATGATTGTAATTATAATTATTATAATTATAATTAATTACAATTATAATTATAATTAATTATAGATATAATTATAATAATTACAATTGATATACTTATAATTATAAGAATTATAATTGTAAGTATAATTATAATTACATATAATTACAATATAATATTATAATAATATTAATCATATTATTATTATTATAATATTGTAATAATAATAATAGTCTTCTTAATAATTGCATTTATATTACTATTATTATATTAAAATATTATAAGTATATTAATATCTTATTTTTTTATCATATTATTATTAATATTATTAATAATAATTATATAATAATAATCATAATAGTAATAACAATATTAATAATAATAATTAATATAATAATAAAAGTGATAAATCATGTTTGAACTTTTCTGATCTGATCTGATCTGATCTGAATGTTTCTGATCTGATCTAGATGTTTCTGATCTGGTCTGATCTGATCTGAATCTTTCTGATCTGATCTGAATCTTTCTGATCTGATCTGATCTGATCTGAATCTTTCTGATCTGAATTTTTCTGATCTGATCTGATCTGATCTGAATTTTTCTGATCTGATCTGATCTGATCTGAATAAAATAAGAATAAGTAATAAGTAATAAGAATAAGACGAACAGAACAGCACCTTCATTTCTTTCCGAATTGGGCTTGGGGTACACACACCTACACACTATAAATAGGCCCAAAAATTACCATTTTTTACCCCCTCCCTCACGTGCGATTTCTTTCCCCTCCCCTTCCCTCTATTCCCGCAGCTCCCTCCCTCCCCTTTTCGTCGTTTTTTCTTTCCCGCAGCAGAACAACTATCCAAAAAAATGGATTTTCCTGGCTTTGTGAATGAAACTATCATTGATACTACGGTGGACGATTTTTGGGCTGATTGGGCTGAAACAACCGGTGGTTGTCGACTTGAAGGAGATTTTCCGGTGGAGGATGAAGGTGAGCGAGAACCGGCGGCGCCCACGGCTGAACATGACGGACAACCAGAGGCGGCGGGTGAACTTGACGGAGAACCGGCCATGGACGACGTCCCTGAGCTTGGTATGAGTTTGTGTTGTTGGTTTCATTGGCTTTGAACTTAAATATATGTTTGTTCTTCACAGACAATTATTTGTGTTTGTGTAGTGTACATAAATTGTCTGTTACTAAATATACTTTTGTCTGTGCGTAAAGTGTATATAAATTCTTTGTTCAAAATGTTATAAGTTTGATTATGTCTGTGTACATTGAGTTTAAATGTCTGTGTCCAAATATACTTTTGTCTGTGAGTAAATATACTTAAGTCTGTGCGTAAATATACCCCGGCCTCTGGGCAAGTACACTTCTGTTTGTAATGTTTGTGTCAATATACTTCCGTTTACAATGTCTGTGTTTCAATATTCCTCTGTCTGTGTGTATATATGCTTCTGTCTGTGCATAAATATACCTCTGCCTGTGTGCGTAAATATACTTCCCTCATTGCATGTTGACATGGACACATTGTTTAATCGTTGAATTACGTGAATGTCGATCAGATGGAGCAATTAAGCAAAATGAGAGTGATGATGGTTCTATACAAGCTCCGGATGTCGGTATGGAATTTGATAGCAAAGAAGCGGTGTATAATTTCTACAAGGCATATGGGAAGCGTTTAGGATTTCCCGTAAGAACTGGGAGTACCACGAAACACAAAAATGGAGTAGATATAGTTGGAGTGTTACTAGAGTGCTCTCATGCCGGTAGTAGATCTACTAGGTCAAAAAATCAATTGAAGCCTCAACCTTCAATGCAAATGGGATGTGGAGCAAAAATACGAGCACGCACAAATTATGCGGGACATTGGGAAATTTCAAAAATCTGTCTTGAGCATACCCATGCCATGAGTCCAACTAAGGCTCGCCTATTCCGGTGCTATAGGACTTTGACTCCCCAAGCAATGAGGCAAGTTGCAATCAACGATGTGGCCGGAATACGACTTCATAAAACCTTCAATGCAGCCGTTGTTGAAGCCGGTGGGTATGATCAACTTCCTTTTATTGAAAAAGATTGTAGGAACTACATTGAAAAGGTAAGACAACTTAGGTTAGGGAGTGGTGATGCCATGGCACTTCAAGAGTTTTTTTCTACAATGCAAGCTCAAAGCCCCGGATTTTTCTATGTCCTTGACTTAGATGACGAGTCCCGATTGCGTAATGTGTTTTGGGCTGACAGTCGATGTAGATATGCACACAAAGACTTTGGAGATGTGATAACCTTTGACACAACCTATCTCACGAATCGGTATGACATGCCTTTTGCACCATTTGTAGGTGTAAATCACCACGGTCAATCAAGTTTGCTAGGTTGCGGATTAATCTCTAATGAAGATACGCAAACATTCGTATGGCTATTCAAAGCATGGCTTGAGTGTATGGAAGGACGTGCTCCGATGGGCATTATTACGGATCAAGACCGTGCAATGCAAAACGCCATCCAAATTGTTTTTCCAAATACAAGACATCGATGGTGCCTATGGCATATTATGAAAAGGGTACCGGAAAAAATGGGAGGCATTACAGAAAAAAAAGAAATCTTGGATGCTATTCATGAATCCATTTATGACTCACAATATATTCCACAATTTGAGCAAAGTTGGAATGACATGATACAAAGGTACCCTTTATTTCCTTAAAACTATGACCCATTCCAGAAGGTTTTTGTCTGTGAAATAAATGTATGTGTTCGTCACAGGCATACAAAATGTACACCACAGACACAAAAGTGTCTGTGAGAAAGCATTGTATCTTTACTTCATATATATTTTAAATATTATTTCAGGTATTCCCTACAAGATCATGAATGGCTTGTAGTGATGTACAATGAAAGACACCGGTGGGTGCCATGCTTCTTAAAGACATTTTTCTGGGCGGGTATGTCTACCACTCAACGAAGTGAAAGTATCAATGCTTTTTTCGATGACTTTGTGCATTCCAAAACTAGTCTTAAGGAATTCGTTGAGCAATACGGACGTGCATTACGAAAGAAGGTAGAAAAAGAATTTCACGCCGATGCTAGTTCGTTTGCAAAAACAATTCCTTGTGTTTCATCATTTGAAATGGAAGAACAAGTCCAAGAAATTTACACCTTAGCTAAGTTTAAGGAGTTTCAAGATGAACTTGTAGGTCTTTTGTATTGTGATCTAATACAAAGCGAAGGAGATAGAAAATTTCATGTTAAGGAGGTCCGAAAGATAAATGGGTTTCGAAAGACCATTGACTTTGTTGTTGAATATGACCCACTAACTACATTTGGAATATGTAGTTGTCATTTGTTTGAATTTAGGGGCATTGTATGTAGACACTTGATTGTGGTCTTACGTCGGCTTGGATTGGATTTCTTACCCGAGATTTACCTATTGCCAAGATGGAGGAAAGATGTTAAAAGAGCTTACACAAAGGTGAAAATAAATTATGATGGGTGGATCACAACGGTGGAGCAAGAACGATTTAATAAGTTGTGCAAAACTTTTGAATCACTTGCAAATATGATTGCGGATGATGAAGATAAGTACAAAAGTGTTCTTAATTGGTTGGAGACTCAATTGTCGACATATACTCCTCCCCAAGCTCCTCGGTCTTCCATTTGTGGCAACCTAACATCTATCCCACAACCGAGTAGTCGTGTGCAATGTGAGGTTCCAAAAAACATAGGAGATCCTAAGTGTGTAAAGCGCAAGGGTGCTCCGAGGAAAAATCGTCAAAAAGGACCATTGGAGAAAGGGAAAAAGAAATTGGGGGCTAGGAATGACATTGGAAGTGCCCCACAAGGTAGCGCTGACCATGGAAATACACAGGAAGATCGTAATGACATGATGAACTATAGTGGTTTAGATTTAAATCTGACTTTGATGTAAATGTGCATGCATGTTTGTTCACAGACATTTATGTAATACGTCACAAACAAATTTGTTGGTCTTCACAAACAAAAGACGTGTTTGTGGGCAATTTTTTGTGTGTTTCAGAAATGTACGACACAAATCACTTCGATGTTAGAAACTTATTTTTAAACTTAATAAATTAGTGGAATATGAAATTACATAAAATTTATTGAATTTAAAGTTATTGAATTTAACATTACTCACTTATCTACTTTGGATTACTTTTATTTGTCACAGACAAGTACGACACAAATCACAGACAAAATCGTATTACAACACAAACACATTACACAATGGGTTACATATACTACTATTTAAACAACAACGAAGTATAAAATAACAAGTAAAGTTTTTCACATAAAAGTAATTGAATTTAAAGTTATTGAATTTAACATTACTCACTTATCTACTTTGGATTACTTTTATTTATTAACATGTTATATTAGAAATATTCAAATTATAAAGTCAGTAATAATTTATAAAAATCGTGATATATTTTATTGCCCTCATACAAATTTCAACAGTTATTTATTTTTGGCGAAATGATACCAATTTTCTCTAAACATTGAACATAGTTGTTATTAATTACATAAAGTAGTTATTAATCACAGATAACAACACACAAATCACAGACAAAGTCGTATAACAGCATACACAAAGTTTTTCTTCTTCACAAGCAAAAGCATCCTTCGTATGTATATATGTTGCCACAAAAACCAAAAGTAATGTTAAATAAATGTTGTACACCCAAACACATCCTCCAATAATTATGTCTAACTTGATCGCTTCCTCAAACTCCACAGCCTCATTGCGAATTCACATCTTTTCGCTTCCATGTTCTCATACGCACACTCGGGCAGCAATGGCAACTTCTGCAACAGTGCTTCGGCAAAGGCCATAACCATGACGCCGCAAACACCGGACCTGGACACACAATAATTAATACAGACATTACATTTACATGCACAGACAAACTATATTTGTGTACAGACAAAATAAAATCCACAGCACATGAATGTACCCGGGGTGCTGTTGTGGAACATCGTCCACTGCCTCCGCTTTCCAAGGCTGTGAATTTGCTGTGGCGCTTAGAGCAGGGTTGCATTTTATGACTCGAAACAGGTGTGGAAGTCTCACACACAACAGCCTCACAGATCCAACTAACCTACGGGTCTTCATAGAATCGTATACCCGTACGATTCTATTGACAAGGTCAATTTCAGACAGCACCCAGTGTTTTCCATCACTGTGCAATGGCATGAACACCTGCACATGCAATAAAGTAGTTAAGATATTAGTGAACATAGTATGTATTGTAGCCTTGTTCTCTATATTTTATATATAAAATGACTAAATGTTTTATTATTTTGGAGACAAACCTTATCATACCAGCTCCAGTCCATTTTGTTAAGCAATCGATCCCCACTCCATTGTGAATCGTCATCTATATTCTTCCGTAAAAGTTGGTACTACACAAAAAACAAAATTACAGACATAACAAGTCTTACACAGACAATACTTTATCAATTCACAGACAAGTGAAGTTCAAAAGCACAGACACAATTTAAACTTTTAATCACTTACCGCGAACAAAGGACTCAAGAGTTCATAGGCCTCGGCGTGTATGCATTCGCGAAACAGAAGAACAAGTGCATCCAAATGCTAAAAAAAATTATCAAAGCCTAAAAAAACCATTGAACTAAAATATTGTAAAATGAAATAGTCCATATATTCAATCACTTGGCTGCTTAGCCATCCGGTTTCATCAATCAGTTCTCGGAAGAAGGCCCTATTTGTCGGGTAAGATGATGGGATAGCTATCTCAATTACGCACGGTTCAACCTCATCATCTTCCTCCACCCATGCCTTGAAGGATTGACATTCTTCATCACTTTGTTGTGGTAGAGCTCGGTTATTGGTGCCTCCAACCTTAGGCCTCTTTGCGGCGGGAGCTATGAATGGGCTGCAAATGTACTTTGACGGCAACCTCTTTCTCTTCCTCACTTCTTTCATAGTAGCTTCTTCGAGGGCCATCATGTCTACACCGCCGGTTCCAACTTCATCACCAAGGTCCCAATCCAAGTTTGCAAAAGGAGCGTGGGGTGTCAAAGCAGAGTCATCTCCCACCTGCACAAAACATTAAAAACTAGGGATCATATATACGCACTCACAAATAAATGTCTGTGAGGACAAGTTTGCTATGCCTGTGCACGTAATGTCTAATGTTTGTGTGATATACATACTGTCTGTGAATATAAACAAATTTTACAAATGACAATGTGAACCTCATTCAAGGAGATCAAAAGATCTGTGGGAGTGGGACAGTCCTCATACATGTGTTCTTCAAGAGTACCCTCCTTCAACTTTGAAATAAAGGAAAAGTTATATTACCCAAAACAATCATGACCAACAAATTTTTTGAAAGAATAAATGATATGAATGTATCATTGAAGAAACCTCAGCCACTACATTCATTACAGGATCAGTTTGTAGTCCCTTTTGTTGTTCACCAACAACATCGTTGGAGTTATCTTCTTCAGCCTAACAATTGGTAAATCACAGACATATCTCAGTCATATATCACATTGACACAGACAACACGAAAGAGTTATACAGACAAAACTTTGCTAAATACAGACACTATAAACTCCACACGACAATAACATTTTTTTAGTTGGTCTTCAACAACTTAATTTGCAATTATTAAAACCCAAACCCAAGATTATCCAAAAACATACCTCAGTTGCAATAGGCTCAGTAAACATATTCTGATCTTCAGGAATAACAGGAACAGAATTATCTCCTTCACCCTAACCATTATTTATACAGACATTTATTAGTTAAACACAGACAAGACGATATGTACGTAGTCATAATACATGGCTACATACAGACACTTAAAATAGCACACAGACAATTAAATGTTATACCTTTTCCTCATAGTATAAAATGAAAACCCGTAAGGTAGAAAACTACATACCACGGTCCTAGCATTGTCAACACCATGTGTAGACATATTTTGATCTTCACCATGTGGTGCACAAACTTCCGTGTCTTTTTCATGATGACTTGGGGCAGATGGACCCCCCTTACAAACCAACAGCAAAGTATACAGTAAGAGTACATACGAACAAGAATTTACTTAATACAGACAACAGAAAATCACAACACAGACATATCATAACAATTTATACCTTTTCCTGTAAAGCAATGTTGACTTTATCAATAACCTGAAGCAGCAGGTCTTTTACTCCACCAAGCTGCTCATCCACCCTTTTCTCCAGCCTTTGAAGACTTGTTTTGATTTCTTCAATGTTCACACACATTTGTTGCACCCTTTCCCTTGTTTGTACTTCAAGATTGTCTTCATCTTCATCTTCATTATCGGAAGAAGGGGGGTAGGCACCTCCTTTGAAAACAAAAACATGACTTAGTATTATAATCGTATTACGAAGTATATTAGGGGACAATTATAATAGGAATGATAAAGAAAGAAGACTTCACATTAGCAAAGCAAATATTCCGTATCGTAGAGGCCCGAAATTTCCCATGACATGACCAATTCAATATTGGGACTTCATGATTACCAACACGTGTGCCAAAATGTTCCCCAAAATTAGGTAAGTTTTCATATGCCCACACCTATATAAAAGAAGTATAAGTTAACAAAGAAATATTCAGGAACACAAATCATAAACATATCTGGGAAGGAAATGTATTGTTTGTGAGCAATCAAAAACATGTCTGGGAAGGACACTTTTGTGTGTGAGCTATTATATGCTGTTTGGGAAGGATAATAAGTGTGTGTAACATGAATAGAATTGTCTGGGAAGGTCAAGTATTGTCTGTGGCAGACAATACTTGTAGATTACAGTAAAAAATGATACAAAGTAAATATGAATCATACCTGTAGGACCAATGGGAAACCGTAGACCGAGAACTTTGCATTTTTGTAATCAGGGTTGTTAGCTTTATTGTCGAAAAACTTCTGTTCCTGGCCATCAAGAAGCTTCTTTAAATCGGTTACCAGCGAATGGTAGGCGTCTCTGGACCACGGCTCCTTCTTGAACTCCTCAAAGTCATTTACCAGCTGAATAGACCTCCTGCTAATCCTTGTTGACCTGTCTCTTCCGAGCAATACGTTCTCAGTCATGTACAAGGATGCAAGCTTCACACCTAGCATCGCTCTGCCTTTTCTAGTAGGACGCACCATTTGAACCCTCTCCATCAACTGCAAGTAAGTGATATCCAAAGATCCTTTAAAGTATGTGGTAGCAACCTCCCCAGGTTCTTCCACTTCTTCAGCCTGTTCATCAGAATTTTCTTCAACTTCTTCGGCCACGACAGGTCTGGGGGCTGCCACTGGTAATCCGGTAATGCGGCAGAAATCATTGTATGTGAATTCTACAATTTTACCCTCCACATTGAACCAGAGCTCATCTTCAGGCTGTTGCTTCACAAGGCGTAAGAGCAACATGTGCACAATTTGGGCACAAAACTGAATGTCCGGTATATCCAAAAGGTGACCCCACGGTGTGTTCCGGAATGTTGACAATTCTTTCTTAGACAACATGTCGGTAATGCACTTCCTGGCACATTTGTAGTCAGAACACATAGAATACTGTGCAGGGAAATGCTTGCTCAATGGAATCTTAAGTTCAAGTGCCCTGTGATTGCAAGGAATAAGTCATAAGCAAACAGACATATGTTAAGTCACACAGACAAGTATTGAGTTAGATACAGCCATACCCCCAGTTATTTATTGGGCTGAGTACTCTAATGAAGTCAATCCTAAAAGTTAGATGTTAACTGCTATACAGACATACCAAGTTTTTTTTGCCTATCTAGTGTATATAAGTACAAGTGTATATAATCAGTTACATGTTGGCTGCTATACTAGATGGTTTTAAGTGGAATCTAGCTTTTAGATTAGGATTAAGTGGAGTTAAGCTCAACATAAATGCAATTAGATGGTATTAAGTGGGAAAAAAGACAACACCACTTTTTTTCTTGATTATGACTAGAGAGTTGAAGGTAAGTATGGCTGGCTGTGAATTCTTTTTTAAAAACTTTCCTTCAACAAAACCTGTTTTACTCTTATATCGTTGTGTACAAGTACAGACATTAATATTATGCACACAGACATATGTGGAGGATTACAGACACATATAATTCTTCACAGACAAACTCAGCCAGAGAGCTAATTGGTCATTGTGTACAAGTACAGACTTACCTAAGAGGCACACAGACATATGTACACAGATACAGACAATCATAGAAGCATAAAATCAACCTTACACAGACAATACATATTCTTCAAAATCCAATTTAATATCATCAAATAGCCTAAAAGTGTAAAAAAAAATCAAAAACTAAGGACAAGGATACATACCTTTCAGTCATGGTTGATAGCGGGGTTCGGACCATTGTCAACTGAAACGGAGGTCGGCGGGAGGAGGGTTCGTGGCGACGACTGTGCGTGGAGGGTTAGTGGCGACGAGGGTGGAGGGTTAGCGGCGACGAGGGTTCGTGGATGGTTAGCGGCGTCGAGGGTTCGTGGATGGTTAGCGGCGGCGACAGTTCGTGGATGGTTGGCGCCGGCGAGGAACCCTTCGTTGAAGGGAGAAGGTTGGCGACGGGGTTTGGGAAGTGTGATGGGCGAAGGGGCAGGTGGGATGCGCGAGGGGGGGTGGTGGGATGCGGGAGATTTTTTTGGGAGCGGGAGAGATTTTTTGGATGTGTGCACGTGTGGAATTGGCTGAGGTGGGGAAAGGGGGGTAAATTTTTTTTGGATTATTTATAGTGTGTATGTGTGTGTATGGATTTTGTGTAACAATAGGATTTTCGTTTCTTTCCTGATGACACCCATCTCTTGCCTTCTATAATCCCCTTTTTCTTTCTCATCTTTCCATCTTTTTTCCATGGCCGAGAAGTTGGTTGCCGGAAACAAATATCACTGCCACACTATCCGCCAGCGCTACCAAGACGTTCGACGCCAAGATTATGGTCAATCCCCATGCGACAGTGAAGAAATCAGTCACCTTCGCACCCTCTAAACTGACTTGGTCGAATTCTCTGTATATCTCAAAGCCGCCCATTTTTGTCCAAAGGTGATTATCTGAATCAAGCCAATTTGCAGTCCAATTTGGACAGATTCTTCAATTCTAAAGATGATTAATAAAAAGAATAGTTTTTGAGCTATTCTTCGGTCCAAACTGATTCTGAGCTACTTGCAAATTTGGCATCTGCACATGTCAATAATAAAGAAGGCTTTATCGTAGTAACAAGGAAGAAAAAGAAGAAGCCAACTCAGGTGGTGCCGGACACTCCTAGAATTACTAGGAATCATAGTAGTCACGGCGCACGGCGACGGACTTGGCGCAGGGGTAATTTCACGCGGCGATGGCGATGGCGCCAAAATGGCGCTCAAATGGCGCTCCAGTAAAACATAACATTAAACAATTTTAAACATAACATATGGACAATATACGTGTATGACTTAAACCACCAATTAAAGAGTGAAATTGTTAAATAACCAAAGTTGTACCCAAAAAAATCCAAATCAAACCAACTTAATAATATCCATAACTAGTTAATGTCTAAAAAACAGAATTTAAAGTTTGAGGAATCACAGCTGGGTGGTCGCTGGGATGGTCGCAGGTTGCTAGGAGGTCGCCGTCGATAGCTGGCTGCTCGTTTGATGCTCGTTGGGTGGTCGATGCTATCTGGTCGCTCCTTCAACATTCATCGCATACTTCTAATCTAACGCCAATAGAACCCTCTCACGCAGATACAGTCTCGAAATTGGTATTATTAGCATTTTTTTTGTTTTTGTTTTTATGTTCAGTCACATGTGACTAAACTCAGGTAGGGCTGAGAAGTCATCCCACGTACTCAACGGGCCATTATTTTTCTGGAGTCGATTAGTCTGGGCCCATTTTTTAAATTTACGCCATTTTTTGGCAAAAAAAAGGAGAAAAAAGCGATGGCGTGGCGATGGCGCTCTTTTGGCAACGCTCTGTGTATCCCCTGCGCAATAGCCATAAATCTTGGCGAAGACCACCTGAATCGCCAATAGCGAAAAATGGCGCTCGCCAACTACGCCATCGACTACTATGCTAGGAATGCAGCTAAAAGGTTGGCCTTAGCTTTTTCTAAAAATCCATGATGAATTGTTTAATTTGGAATGTCCGTGGTCTTGTTTCTTCCTGTCCAAGACTACGTGACTTAATTAGACAGTGGAATATTCATCTCTTAGTTGCTATTGAACCTATTATTTCTTCGAATAAAATTATGGACATTGCGATTCAGATTGGGTTACAATCTACCTTTTGCTGTAATGTGAATAAGATTTGGTTGTTTTGGGATAAATCAAAGCTGGATGTTTCGGAAATTTCTACAGCAGGTCAGCTTATTCATATGAAAATTCAAAGTGGATCAACTACTTTCTGGTTTACTTCTATCTATGGAAGTCATAGTCATGTTGAAAGAAGAGAGCTTTGGCATTTTCTGGCAAACTGGGCTGAATTTAATAAAGATCCATGGTTTGTTGGAGGAGATTTTAATGCTATTATTTCACAGGGAGAGCATAAAGGGCACAGTACACCTTTGTTGAGCAGTATGAATGAATTTAAAGATTGTATAGCCAACTGTGATTTGATTGACTTACCTTATCTTGGATCTCCCTTCACCTGGTCTGGGGTTAGAGCCAATGGAAGGGTGTGGCGTAGATTGGACAGATTGTTGTTTAACTCTTCTTTCCTGGACCAATATGATACTATCCAGATCAGTCATCTCAACAAGGCCTCTTCTGACCATTCTCCAATCCTATTACAGTGCAAAAATCAGGTTTTGGTGGGTCCTAAATCTTTTAAATTTCAAAATATTTGGATTTCACATCCAAATTTTTTAGAAGTTGTTACCAAATTTTGGAATGAATGTGCTACTACTGGAGGAATGAGAGGGCTGTACAATAAACTTCACCATCTTAAAAAGTCTCTTAAGATATGGAATAGAGATATTTTTGGGGATATCTTTCAAGATATCAAAAGGTTGGAAGAGGAGGTTACTGCAGCAGAGGTTTTATTTGATTCAGATCCTACTGAGGCTCACAGAGAGGACTGGTCCTTCAAACAAGCTTTACTTCTTACTAGACATAAACAGGAAAATGAGTTTTGGAGGCAAAGAGCACATATTAGGTGGCTGAAAGATGGGGATGCTAATACTAAATTTTATCATGCATATGTAAATATAAGAAGAAGGATGCAATTCTTATCTGCAATTAAAGACAAGGCTGGTAGATTGTGCACTGATTCAGAATCCATTGGCGTTGCTGCAGAGGAGTATTTTCAGAATATTTTTGCGCATGAAGAGGTTCATGAGGTGAACAACATCCTGCAATACATCCCAAGGTTAGTTGATAGCAGTGATAATGACAAGCTCATGCTTTTACCTACTTATGAAGAAACTAAAAATGCAGTTTGGGATCTGGATAAGGATAGTGCTTCTGGTCCTGATGGTTACAATGGAGTTTTTTTAGGCAATGTTGGGGAATTGTTGGTGAAGATGTGGTAAGGGCTGTGCAAGACTTCTTTCAAGGGAATGCCATACTGACGTGCACTTTGTCGTGAGTGCACTCAAAGTAAATTCAACACTAGCACTTATACGTAGTATAGGTGAAGTAGAGTTCGTATCCACATGGAAAGGAATAACTTTCTTTTTATATAAATAGTAAGTAAAGGGGGGGTTTTGATTGTTGAGTGATTTAATTAAATTAAACAAGATGAACGAGTTATATGGGATTTAATTCAAAGATAAAAGTGACTTGGCATTGCTACTTTCCACTTGTTGATATATTTTAGTCGATCATTGTTATATCTATAACTTATTTCCTCTCGAATACTCAATCGAGGAGTATATCCAATTCATCGAGGATAGTTATTAACAACGACCGTTCATTAATAACCCTTACTATTAGTCAAGTATAGAACAACGCCATATACCGACTTGATAGTAGCATTTAATCTTTTAATTCCTTGATGAAATCAATTGAGATTGGTAACCTCAACACAACGGTCTTGGTTTAACCAACAAAATTAATCCCTCTTAAGTTTATTAACAACGACCGTGCATTAATAAACCGAAGTTACTTACTTATGAAACTACCAACGATTAACCATCGGTTCGTTGATTGTTTCTAGTAGTAATTAATATGTGAAACAAAACTAATTGATCCTTTAAGTAATGTTCAAAATATTAATATAAAATATGAATAGGGATTAATTAATACTCAAGGAAGAATATTAAAGAAGATGAATCCTACTATAGTTAATATCAAGATGTTGACTAATTGTCATCTTAGTAACACTCCCCAACATTAACATAGAGGAAGGAATAGCTATTACCAAGACCAATGTCAAGATGTTAACTAATTGTCATCTTAGTAACACTCCCCAACATTGATATAGAAATAGTATTTAAAGAAAGAATTAATATTCAAGGAAAAGAAGTTAAGAAAATAACTCACAACTTTAATAATCAACAAGCTTCAAGAGCAATACCAAGAAATGGAAGTTTAGCTCCTCATTTGGAGACTAAACATGCTAAAAGAAATATAGAGAAATTCTATTCTAAACTGAGCTTAAGAGTATATAGGAATTGGTGTTCTAAAAGTGAAGAAAAAGAGGTGTATTTATAGGCTTTTTTGAAGGTGCAGGTCGGGTACTCGATCGAGTATATACATATACTCGATCGAGTATGTGTAGAATGGTGAATTTTAAGCCATACTCGACCGAAGTCGGGTTGAAATTTATATGTATACCCGATCGAGTATGTCGGTGTACTCGATCGGGTATGACAATAGAACGTGGCCAAATCTTTCCTTGCATGTTCCTTTGTTTTCGGATCCGATCCGATTTGAAATTTCAACAAGATACTCGATCGAGTATATCTAGATACTCGATCGAGTATCGACCAAAAATCAGGATCTTCCCTTTTGTCTTGTGATTTTGCACCTTCCTTCCACTTTTGGGGTTCACCAACCGTCCTTTGAGTGATAGTAGACCTGTTTGAGCTCAGAATAAACCTAATCTAAACAATTTACAAGAATTTAACAAACTAAACTATTACACCAAAAGTGTGTAATTTCCGAAATATTAAACAACCAAAACTAGCTAAAAACATAAACATACACACGGAAATTACAAGTGTATCAACTCCCCCACACTTAGTTCTTTACTCGACCTCGAGTAAAACAGAAACATCCAAACGGTTTAAGAGTTTTCCAAGAGTTCAAGAAAGAAAGAACTAAGACCACCAAGGATTGAAACAACATTCTTTCTTGGGTTTTGTGATCTTCTATGCTCCATCTTCTTGCCCCTTTTTTTTCTTCTTCTATTTTTCTTCTTCTCCTCTTTTTCTTCTTCTCCTCTTTCTCTCAAGAGATGAAATGAGGTCCTGAACACGACAAATAGTTCTCTCATATCTCTCATTTTGCCTAGGAGCCTTTTCAGGTTTTCATCCTAGCATCTCTCTTTTCTTTCCATTCTCTCCAACTCACTCGTTTTTTTATAAGCCATTTTTGCTTAGATTACCCTTTCTGGGTTTTCAACCTAACTAGCGTATCTTTTATTTTCTCTCGTTTTTTTTTTTAAAGAAAATAATGCCAGTTACAAGGTATCAAACTTAAGTACGTACCAATGAGTGACTCCCCCTCACTTAACCTGAAGCACTGTCCCTAGTGCTTGTCTCCGTTATACCCGGGTTGAAACGGGCATCCTCGTAGTCTTGAATTGGTCCCTTTGCATTTGAACTTTCAGCCCTATTATTTTTATGTGCCATTGAATGTTGTTTTTTTTGGGTCTTGGACTTCGGACTTGAGGGTAGGGAGAGTGTATGGGTTGTTGTATGAGTGATTTGGTGGAGAAATTAAGGAGATATGGGAGAGAGAAGGTATAAAAATGGAGTTTGGGGGAGAGGGGTTCGAATTTAGTTAGAGTGTTTGGAGAAGAATGTTATGTTTTGGGCGCTGGTTGGGGCTTAAATCGCAGGTATATCTGATCGGGTGCCTCTCTATACTCGACCGGGTACTGGAGACAGGGGGTGCGAATATGGCTTTTCCAGTGATACTCGATCGAGTATTGATAGATACTCGATAGGGCATAGGAGACAGGCTGCTCGTGGTTTTGATTTTCCAGACATACTCGACCGAGTATTGACTTATACTCGATCGGGTATGTCTCCAGATACACTTTTTTTTTCTCTCTTTTTTTTTTTACACACGCACACAAACTAAAATAAACATGAAAAGAAAACATACCTTGCTTGGGTTGCCTCCCAATAAGCGCCTTATTTAACGTCGTGGCACGACGCTATCATTGTGTTCAGTCATTCAAACTCGGATCGTGATAGTTTATCTTCTTCACACGTTCACTCCTAGGACTTCCATAGAAATGCTCAATTTCTCGACTCTTCACTTTATAAATCTTTCCAGGATCAAATACCCAGATTTTCATTGATTCGTGTGGTGAGAGTGAGGGGGAGAATTTATCGTTTAACATGGTCAATGGAAAATGTTTCGATCCCTCAATTTCTCCGAGGATTTCAAAAATGTCACTCTCCTTTTCAATTTTATGAGTTTCCCTCAAAGTTTTTAGAATTGATGGGGGTACCTCAAAGAATGATAAGGATAGATATTTGATCTTGAAACTCGGTTCATCCTCTTCCTTGACCAGCTGGAGCTCCATGTCTCTTTCCTCTTCTACTTCTTTTGGATTCTGAATCTCCTTTTGCGTTTCCTTTTCATTTGTCAATGTGATTGCAAAAGTTTGCTGTTCAGGATCACATTCTATTTGAGAAGGAAGTTTTTCTGAATCCCTTGCTTCAAGCCTACTCACGGCTCCGGCTATTTGACTCATTTGAGTTTCCAAGTTCAAAATGCTAGACTTGGTCTCATTTTGGAATTGCACCATGTTGTTTTGCATAGTGGTCATGTTGGTAGCAATAGCCCGGACCATATCCTCCGTAGACATGTTAGAGTTGGAGAACGGATCATACCTCATGTGAGGTACATCTCTTTCGTAACCAACCTCATCAATTTGTTCAAGGTATTCATCTTGGAGCTTTGGGCAGAAATCCGTTAGATGCCTGTGAGACATGCAAATGTTGCATGTTTTGGCATCTTGAGCTTTTGAGCTTAAGATAAATTCATTTATTAGAGAAGTCAAGAAGGAAATTTGACTCTCTAAGGATGAAATGTTGGTATCCATACACTCATAACTCATGTAAGCTCAGAAAATAGAAGAGTAAGTTTTTTTTTTATATTTTTTTATTATTATTATTTTTTTGATTTTGATTTTTATGAGATAAAAATAAAAAGAAAAATAATTGCCTTTCCCCGACAACGGCGCCAAATTTGACGTGCACTTTGTCGTGAGTGCACTCAAAGTAAATTCAACACTAGCGCTTATACGTAGTATAGGTGAAGTAGAGTTCGTATCCACAGGGAAAGGAATAACTTTCTTTTTATATAAATAGTAAGTAAAGGGGGGGGGGTTGATTGTTGAGTGATTTAATTAAATTAAACAAGAAGATGAACGAGTTATATGAGATTTAATTCAAAGATAAAAGTCACTTGGCATTGCTACTTTCCACTTGTTGATATATTTTAGTCGATCATTGTTATATCTATAACTTATTTCCTCTCGAATACTCAATCGAGGAGTATATCCAATTCATCGAGGATAGTTATTAACAACGACCGTTCATTAATAACCCTTACTATTAGTCAAGTATAGAACAACGCCATATACCGACTTGATAGTAGCATTTAATCTTTTAATTCCTTGATGAAATCAATTGAGATTGGTAACCTCAACACAACGGTCTTGGTTTAACCAACAAAATTAATCCCTCTTAAGTTTATTAACCACGACCGTGCATTAATAAACCGAAGTTACTTACTTATGAAACTACCAACGATTAACCATCGGTTCGTTGATTGTTTCTAGTAGTAATTAATATGTGAAACAAAACTAATTGATCCTTTAAGTAATGTTCAAAATATTAATATAAAATATGAATAGGGATTAATTAATACTCAAGGAAGAATATTAAAGAAGATGAATCCTACTATAGTTAATATCAAGATGTTGACTAATTGTCATCTTAGTAACACTCCCCAACATTAACATAGAGGAAGGAATAGCTATTACCAAGACCAATGTCAAGATGTTAACTAATTGTCATCTTAGTAACACTCCCCAACATTGATATAGAAATAGTATTTAAAGAAAGAATTAATATTCAAGGAAAAGAAGTTAAGAAAATAACTCACAACTTTAATAATCAACAAGCTTCAAGAGCAATACCAAGAAATGGAAGTTTAGCTCCTCATTTGGAGACTAAACATGCTAAAAGAAATATAGAGAAATGCTATTCTAAACTGAGCTTAAGAGTATATAGGAATTGGTGTTCTAAAAGTGAAGAAAAAGAGGTGTATTTATAGGCTTTTTTGGAGGTGCAGGTCGGGTACTCGATCGGGTATATACATATACTCGATCGAGTATGTGTAGAATGGTGAATTTTAAGCCATACTCGACCGAAGTCGGGTTGAAATTTATATGTATACCCGATCGAGTATGTCGGTGTACTCGATCGGGTATGACAATAGAACGTGGCCAAATCTTTCCTTGCATGTTCCTTTGTTTTCGGATCCGATCCGATTTGAAATTTCAACAAGATACTCGATCGAGTATATCTAGATACTCGATCGAGTATCGACCAAAAATCAGGATCTTCCCTTTTGTCTTGTGATTTTGCACCTTCCTTCCACTTTTGGGGTTCACCAACCGTCCTTTGAGTGATAGTAGACCTGTTTGAGCTCAGAATAAACCTAATCTAAACAATTTACAAGAATTTAACAAACTAAACTATTACACCAAAAGTGTGTAATTTCCGAAATATTAAACAACCAAAACTAGCTAAAAACATAAACATACACACGGAAATTACAAGTTTATCACATACCTAAAGCTATGGCAAGTTCCCTCATTGTGTTAATCCCTAAGAAGGAAAAGTATTCTTCCTTTTCAGATTTCAGGCCTATCAGTCTTTCTAATTTCATTAGCAAGGTTTGTACAAAAATTCTGGCTACCAGGCTTATTCTCATTCTCCCAAAACTGATTTCAGTTGAACAAGCAGGTTTCATGAAAGGAAGAGATATATCAGATCAAGTACTTGTGGCACAGGAAATGATTAACTCAATTGACAGAAAGATCAGGGGCACCAATTTAGTAGTGAAGTTGGATATGGCCAAAGCTTTTGACAGATTATCCTGGGTTTTTCTAAGAGCAGTTTTATCCAAATTTGGGTTTTGTGATTGCTTCGTTGATTTAGTGATGAATCATTTACAAGCTACTCATTTTTCCATTCTTATTAATGGTTCCCCTAAAGGATACTTCAGACCGCTTAGAGGGGTTAAGCAAGGAGACCCCCTTTCCCCATATTTGTTTATTCTGGCTACTGAAGCACTTTCTAGAGGATTAAAGAGTCTTATTTCTGAAAATAAAATTAAACCTTACTATCTTGGTCCTGATGGTCATGCTGTAAGTCATCTCAGTTACGCAGATGATATTCTAGTTTTCCTGAATGGAGAAGCTAGGTCTATTCAAAATTTCATCAGATTCTTGGGTCTTTATCAAAGGGCATCTGGACAGGCTATTAATTTTGAGAAAAGCAGCTTTGGATGTGAAAAAACCTCACTGGCCAGAATTAGGAAGATGGAGAGATTGCTGGGTATGACCAAAGTTGATCTGCCATTGAAATACCTTGGTACATCCTTGCATAAAGGAATTAATAGGAAGAACTATTGTGCTCACATTCTTCAAAGTTTTGATAAAAAACTTTCTACTTGGAAACAGAAGAACTTAAGTTTTGGTGGCAGGCTCGTACTCATCAAATATGTTCTTAATTCTATTCCATTACATGTTTTCGCTGTGGACACTATTCCCAGGTCTGTCACTAGATGCTTGGAGAAGAAAATGTCACATTTCCTCTGGGGGTCTAATGCTAACAAAAGCAAATTTCACTGGATTAGATGGAGGGACCTATGCTTACCATATGATGAAGGAGGACTGAACTTGAGATCTCTTGATGATATTGAAAAAGCCTACTCTCTGAAACTATGGTGGAAATGGAAGGGGGGTAAATCTATCTGGGCCAATTTCTGTAGAGCTAGATACCCAAGAGGCACAAATATGACCCCTAAACAGACTGATTCATGTGTTTGGAAAAGAATCTGTAACATTCATAAGATGGGTCAATCCTTAAGTACACTCAGTCAAGAGGGGGATCTAGTGTGGTTACCTGAAAAAGATGGCAGATTCACCATTTCATCTGCTTTTAAGGCTGTTAGAAGATCAAGGAGCACTATATTCTCCTTCGCTCATGCCTGGCACAAAAGTCAGCAAAATCAAATACAAGTTTTTCAATGGAAAGCTCTTAACAGAATTCTTCCATTTCCAGATAATTTATGTAGGTTTAATATTGCCATTTTCCCTACCAGATGCCCCTTTTGTGCTCAGGACTCGGATGCCATGGATCATACTCTGATTAATTGCCCTTATAGCTGGAATATATGGAAATATCTTATGGGTATTTTTGGAATTCCTATTCCTAATACTCCTATTTCGTTAAGGCAGATGTTTATTACATGGTGGTTGGAGGCGGGTAATAAAAGCATTATGGATGTCTTCAAGCATAACATGGCTAGAATTATTTCCTGGCATATATGGAAGAACTACTGCAGGTTTATGTGGGGAGAGGAGATGGTAATACCTAGCTGGCAAGTGATTATACACCAAATTAAGGTTTTTTCACAGAAATGGTCGGAGGTTAAGCTCTCCAGTCTTAAACTTGGCAAACCAGATTCAATCCTTTATGAGGAAAGACTTCTGGCTCTATCTTTTCGAGGTAAGAAACCTAAAATTCGAGCTTTAAAGTGGAAAATACCTGATCTGGAGTACAAATTGAACATCGATGCTTCCTTTTCTTCTGAGGGGGCGTCCGGCGGTGCTGTGTTAAGATCCAGGTCGGGCAAGATGGAAGCTGCTTTTCAATTCCCTCTTTTGGCATCTTCGGCTTTAGACGCTGAGATGAAGGCGGTTCACTTCTCTGTTGGCTGGGTTGTTGAGAAGGGTTATCAGGAATTGGAGGTTGAAACAGATTCTTTGGGGGTGCTTGAGGAAATTTTGGGCGATAAGGTGGACGGTCGGTGGAAGAAATTGGTGGAGGATATTCGAAGGTGGAAGGACATATGGCATATCCGGTTCAGACATATACATCGAGAAATTAATTGGCCTGCTCATTTCTTGTCAAAAATTAAATCTGATGACATGGTTACTTATTCTAGCGACAGTCAGCTTCCTGTTCAAATTCGGCGTTCTCTTATAGCTGACAAGCTGGGTTTGAGTTATTTCAGATTCTTTTAAATTTTATTCTGTTTTTATTGGGTAAGGTTGGTCCCCCCAATATTTTATTTTTATTTTGGTTGACATGCTTAATTTGGAGGGGTTTTGGTCTAGTCCCCCCCTCTGGTTGTAATTTCTATCTTATCAATAATACTCGGTAAATGTTACCCGGCATTTACCCCACTGATTTTGGTGGTTTGCCTTCCGGGTTAAAAAAAAAAAAGAATAGTTTTTGAATTTTGATATGGGCAGCTATTTGTCAATCACGATGCCATCCATTTCCTCAATTTGTTCCTCCCAATTTTCGAGGACTGAAATTTATTTGTAGGTTTTGTATTGAATTTAATTTTTTATTGGGGGTCCGCTCATAATAATCTCAACTATCTATTATTTCAGAATAATCCCAACTTTAGGGAACTTCCGCCAATAATGGTCCCTATAAATAAATTCTTGTAGTTTCTAAAGTGGATGAGAAGAGATATAGCAAATAATCCCTATAAATAATCCTAACTTTTAATTTTTACTCTTAATTTTTATTTACAATTCACTTGTTATAGGAGATAATATCTAGTCATGGACCATTATTGGCGGACGGTCCATATAGTTGGAATCATACAAAAATAATCAATAGCTGGGATTATTGTCAGCGGACCGGCAATAATTGGGATTATTATTTTCAATTTTTCCTTTTTTATATTGATTTTGCAGGACTGGAAACTTTTTTTCAGTTAAATCACTTGGAAAAAAAGGATGACACTCCATCCCTGAGGCCCCCCAACACCGACCGGACGGCATGATAGGAGGATGTAAATTGGACTATAATCACAATCTGACAGATAGAGAGTGAGGCTCTGTCCCCGGTACTTGCAGAAGCCGTATACATTTTTCAGCATAGTAACGTCTCATCGCAGTTGCCGGGATTCGAACCCGAGACCTAACCCTTGTGGCACTCCCTCACTACCAGTTGAGCTACGCCCACCGGTGGATAGAACCGTTCCTACTTCTATAAAACCTATAAACCACTTGGCTTATCACTTGATGGGTTTTGGTTTATTTAGTACACCTAGAAAATGTTGGCTAAGAGATGATGAAGATGACATGTTCGCAAAATTTCCCGAGAGACAAAAGTTAGTTGTGTTTAGTGGGATTAATATTTTTTCTGTAGTAAATTGATTAGTTCCTCTGTATTTTTTTTACATATTTACAAATACCTTAGAAGAAAATAAACTGAACAATAAAGAACCAGCTAATAGGGAAGGAAACACTCTCTATGATTTTCTAATGAAGAATGACTTTGACCTATTAAAACATATGTATATTACAAAAAACTTTATGTATATTATAACATTCTGTGTTCTAATAACAATTAAAAAATGATTGTGTATTTTGCATATGACATTCCGTGTCACGCCCCAGACCGCGTCTGTGCCACGTGGACAACCGTCGTACAACCCAATAAGAATAACCGCAGTTCATCCCTTACCGAATTGCACAAGACGTCCGATAGATACATATGCCAAAACCGATTAGTAAACATACATAACAACATCAACATACAATCAAACACATAGCGGAATATAAGTGTTTAATAAGAACCCACACAAGGGTAAAACACGAGCTCGCAGGCTCCATTAATTTATAAGTCAAAATAGTTCCATGAGCATTTTTTTTTAATTATTTAAAAATAGAACGAGAGGAAGCACGAACCACGTCTTCTCTCCATCGATCTCCTGAGCAACGGGTGCAGGAAGTAAGCTCTAGCTTCAACCTGAAAGGGTGGTTCCCCCGAGGGATCAGTACTACAGAAAAGTACTGGTGAGGGCAAACTGTATGTAATGTAACTAACGTTTCTCACGTGAGACCCTCAAAATAGGGTGATAGTATAATTATGGGCATAACTCTTAGCTACCCCCTTTTCAAAACAAAATGTATACATATATACATATGAGTAAAATATCCGGCCCATGGGCCCATTTGTCTTTCAAATCATTTAGGCGTAACAGCCTCATTAAATTCACCTTTCCCATGTCTTACCCTCGAGTGGAGTCACCCGCAGGCTGACTCACCCGATATCAAAATATAATTACTGTGGGGGCCCTTCGGACTCCCATATCACGGACATGGTTTAAATCAATTCCTAGACCAAGGAAAATATCCTATCGGAAACTCGTTCCCGATCAAGCACGTTTAATCATTTAAAATCATTACCTTGAGGTTCACCTACCTCGAGGACTATCCGTCCTTACAATCATAGTTTACATTCCCGGGGCTAACCCCGCCTTGAGGAGTACGCATACACCCTCATCCTATGTGTAATTTGCTGGAGGTTAACACACCTCAAGGACTACACGGGCCCTTGTTACTATATGCAATTTGATGGAGGTTAACACACCTCAAGGACTGCATTTGCCCTTGTTACCTATGTGTAATTTGCTGGAGGTTAACACACCTCAAGGACTACACGGGCCCTTGTTACCTACATGCAATTTGATGGAGGTTAACACACCTCAAGGACTGCATTTGCCCTTGTTACCTATGTGTAATTTGCTGGAGGTTAACACACCTCAAGGACTACACGGGCCCTTGTTAACATTTGAGCATAAAGGACTCCTCCTGGTCCTACAGAGTTTTACCCAACCTTACTCGGTCCCGGGTATTCACCCGCCATGTATAATCTACCACTTACCTCGCCCGGTCGTGGTCTAATTTCTTTACTAACGACTAGTCCAAGTCTTAGCGTTTAAACCGTATTTGAAGCCTTAGCAACCAATGTGGACGGGTCCCACCCCAACGGCCCACATAAACTTACTCAAAAACTGCATATTGGGTGTATTACCCAATACCCGGTCGGGTATTACCCATACCCGGTCGGGTATGGTGAGGCAGTAACTCCTGGTACCACTTCTAATTAATACCCGGTCGGGTATTTACCCATACCCGGTCGGGTATGGTGAGGCAGTAGCCTCTGGAACTGATTTTAGCTAATACCCGGTCGGGTATTTACTTATACCCGGTCGGGTATAGCCTTTGACTTGGCGGTCAACGCCCGTTTGACCGCACAAACGAAGTCCGATTTACGTGAAATTTTATACACATGTACTTCTTGACTTCCTCAATCCAAAAATACCTTTTTGGGTCCTTGGAACATCATACATAATTAATTATCACATTTTAAATCATCAAGCTTACTTAACATGCCTTTCAACTATATTTTACATATAATCATGGCATAACACATACTTGATTATCTTTAATCATTCAATAAAATATATTCTTGATTACTTTAGGTAATCTATGCCTCACTCAAAAGTTATAAAGCATAAAGCCATCTTCTCACAACTATTAATAAGTACTTCATACTTATTAATCGTTTATGTATTTCATTCTAGTTTATTCTTCATAACTAGATTTAATTTAATGACATGTATGATTAAGTACTTGAATCCTTCAAGAATACCATCTTGAATTACCTTAGTTAAATCATCCATGATTATCCTTTATCAAAAATATTAATAATTCTTTTACTCATTAATCGTGCCATTTTCACATAACTTATAATCATTATAGTTAATCACATGTTTAAACACTTTTAAACATTTCTATACATATTCACATACTAGATTACTCTAGTTACCTCATACATAGTCCATGTATGCATTTTTATACATTTGACAATGATATATTCATGATTAGTCCACAAATAAATCTCTTATTCAATATTTCCATAATTCATACTCACCATGACTAATCATGCATTTTAATCCATTTAATCATTTCTCAAATCATGATAAGGATTTTATTTAGGTAATCCCACGTTTGACCCAAGAGTTACAAGACACGTAGTCGTCCACTCACCTTGAAATGACGCTAGCAAGCTTTTATCTTCTTTGTTTGAACTCCGACGACTTTTGAATTTTCCGGCGAAAACTCCGGCGGCTCCGGCGACTTTCCGGCCACTCCTAGGTTCCTTGAGAAGTCTAGAATACCTTGGTAAAATTCCTAACAAGGTTTCACAACCAAAAGTGGTATAAACGTCAAAACCTTCCGAGAAGGTGTTTTCCGGTGAACCGGTCTTACTCCGGTCATAACTCCATTCATGGTTAAACTTAACCCTCCAAACCCTCATACTACACCTCTATAAGTGTAGAACAAGCTTATGGGTTCATCATATGATTTATAAAATCATATGAGATAAAATGAAAGAGGAAAAAATAATAATGAAGTCATTACCTTGTTTTCTCCCTAAGTTTTCTTTACTTTCTCCACTCTTTCTTCTTCCTTGAGCATCCTTCTTGCTTGAGCTTGGTTAGAGGTTATGGAGATAAGAGGTTGTAGACCTCCTCTTGCTGTTTTGTGTGGTATGGCCGAACTAATGGGATGAGGATGGGGTGAGGAGGCTCTTTTGTCTCAATTGTACAATGAATGTGGGAGTGAGGTCCACTCAATGTCCTTTTGATGCCAACCCATTCAAATCACATACAATGCATCCCTCCATCACCCTCCATCCCACATCTCGGCTGTTTGGTTGCATAATTACGTGGGGTGGCCCCCACCCATGTGGGAGGTCATCCCAATGTGTCTCGAAATGTACATTCGGTCCCGAAAGTTGTATTTTCCGGATTGTTTTAATTAAATTTTATTTTATCGGGTCAAGTAAAATATATATCATTCTTCCAATTAATATTGGACTCTAAAATGAATATATATTACCCAACTTCAATTTAGTGGTCCCCGGAATTTATTTCGGTCTGTTATCTGATTAATTAGCTATACCGATAATGGGACCTTGTTTGATCGAAAGGCCAACTTTATGGCTCAACATTAATTTACACCATCATATAAATATTATCTAAACCAAGATGAATATAATATGTGGTTTCATATTTGGTGACACTTTAATAAAATGTTACACTTATTTTTAAGTGGTCCGAACTGTATGAACAAATAAAATCTTATCTGTTTATTCTTATACAAAATATCTCCAAGGTAGGGTCCTCCAAAAGTACCCACCTCTAACATGTCAAGTTGCTCATTATTATCCATCATCCCATGTTTTGGGTTCTTAAAATATTTATATTCCTTCTGTTATTAATTCGTAGCCTTCCCAATTATTATCAGTCCGATAATTAAAGACTCACAATTATTGGATAGTGACACCGGCCCGCTTGGCCGTCTAGTTGTCATTCTTTATATTACCGGGGTCCAGGAACCATCCATACTATCATAATAGTATCATTTTGATAAATATTAATATTTTATAAACTCGAAATATCATGAGTGGTCCCCACGTCTAAATTAATAATCCTTTATTAATTTAAGACAAAAAATTTACTTTCTCATTTATCAAGACTACTCTTAGCCTCGATTTACTTTCTTTAACCCAGTACTTGATGAAAAAAAAAATTCTCACAGTAAAATTCGGGTCCGGTGTTACAAGTTCACCCCACCTTACAGGAATTTCGTCCCCGAAATTAACGTTTGAACCTTGAGGAACATTCCTCCCTTCATTTTCTGAAGCTAAAAATTTTGAACATAAAAATATTTATGGAAATTAAGGTTTAATTTAATAATACCTTATGCCATACTCGGGCCTAACAAATGGATTCCGCCATTCCCGGCCTTCACGAGCGAGTTTGCCATTGACTTGTAGAAGGTACCATGTTTGAGGCAACCCTAGTTGGGTTTTCAACCCCCGTGACCCCTCCTCTAGCTCCTGATGTTCCTTCACGCGTACGTTGAGGACAAAGGACCTTGATGTGGCCTGTTTCTCCACAAAAGTAACATCTAGATGGCTCTCGACATCTCCCGTAGTGCCTTCGCCTACAATTCTCACATTTGGGTGCCCCCGTGCCCCGAGTGCTTGAGCTTTGACTTACCAAGTTCTGACTCTCACTGAAAAACGGAACTAACTTGTTAGAGTCCCCCTTGCTCTGAAGTTCATACTTCCCCTCTCGTCGTGGAGGGTGAATCATCACCTGATCTCTTTCTTGTGCTTCCTTTGCATCCCTTGCTTGCCTTTCCTTCCAAAGCTCCTCCCCCTGGAGACCTTGGGTTACTACTTGACTAAAAGTCATGTTGAATTGGTAGGTCGCTCTTTCGCGTATTTCCAAATTGAGTGCATTCCAAAAATGGTTTGCCATTCGGTTCTCATTTGCGGCATACTCAGGCAAGAACCTTGCCAGATGTCGGAATCTTTGTTCCAGTTGCTTCACCGTAAACTCATTTCCCTGTTTGAGATCGATATATTCCCTCCTCTTTCGATTTACTTCGAAAGAGGTGTAAAACTGCTCATAAAATGCTTACTCGAAGTTGTCCCACGTGACAACCCCGTCAAACTTACCCTTGGTGCCCTCCCACCAAGTAGAAGCTAAACCCTCCAATAATCTAGTGGCTACCCTTAACTTTCGTTCAGGGACCACCTGCATGTCATCAGCTGCATCATTTAACCTTTTTATCCACTCGGCTGCTTCCGATATGTCCTCCGTCCCATCAAATGGTTTGCACCCCAAGGCCCTAGCCTCTTTGAGGTATTTTGAGATCTTAAAGAATGGTTCTTCGCCATCAGAACATCTGATTGTCCTAACCCGTGCTCTATGAGCACCCCAACCCCTCCTGAGAGAGGTCTCGCCTCTGACCAGTCCCTCCTGAGATCCCTGTCGTTGTCTTCCCCTTTCACGTTGGTACCATCGGTACATCTCACTAACATGGTCAGGAGGAATACTGTGTATATCCTCTCCACTGTTTTCCTGAAAGGAAGTTTCATCCGACTCGCTTTCAGGGTGATAAGTTGAGTCATCCTCCGAGTTCCACGACTCGAATTCAGTCACATTGTGATCAGCCATCGCGGCTCGTGTTCGTGGGCCTTGGTTGCCCATACCTCGCCTTTTACGCGACCTTGATATCCCCCGATTGGCTTGCCCGGCTATCCCCGGTGCGCGCCCTCTCGGATTTCCTCGAACCGCCCTATCACGACCACCCATTCCTGAAAGAATATATTGGAATGAGTCGTTGGACTCGTTTGAATGTCAATTGAAAGAAACGTACTCAAGACACAACTTGGCTCAAGTCACTGCCATACCAATTGTTAAGGGGCCCGTCTTAACAACCAGAGACCTTGCAACTCGATAACCAAATGCTCTTAAAGTACAAAACTTATGCTCATGGTTTTCATTAAAAAATTGTTTTGATAGAATCTCTGTTGAGAGGTTGACTATATAGTTTAGAAATCGTATGGCTCTGATACCACTTAATTGTCACGCCCCAGATCGCGTCTGTGCCACGTGGACAACCGCCGTACAACCCAATAAGAATAACCGCAGTTCATCCCTTACCGAGTTGCACAAGACGTCCGATAGATACATATGCCAAAACCGATTAGTAAACATACATAACAACATCAACATACAATCAAACACATAGCGGAATATAAGTGTTTAATAAGAACCCACACAAGGGTAAAACAAGAGCTCGCAGGCTCCATTAATTTATAAGTCAAAATAGTTCCATGAGCATTTTTTTTTAATTATTTAAAAATAGAACGAGAGGAAGCACGAACCACGTCTTCTCTCCATCGATCTCCTGAGCAACGGGTGCAGGAAGTAAGCTCTAGCTTCAACCTGAAAGGGTGGTTCCCCCGAGGGATCAGTACTACAGAAAAGTACTGGTGAGGGCAAACTGTATGTAATGTAACTAACGTTTCTCACGTGAGACCCTCAAAATAGGGTGATAGTATAATTATGGGCATAACTCTTAGCTACCCCCTTTTCAAAACAAAATGTATACATATATACATATGAGTAAAATATCCGGCCCATGGGCCCATTTGTCTTTCAAATCATTTAGGCGTAACAGCCTCATTAAATTCACCTTTCCCATGTCTTACCCTCGAGTGGAGTCACCCGCAGGCTGACTCACCCGATATCAAAATATAATTACTGTGGGGGCCCTTCGGACTCCCATATCACGGACATGGTTTAAATCAATTCCTAGACCAAGGAAAATATCCTATCGGAAACTCGTTCCCGATCAAGCACGTTTAATCATTTAAAATCATTACCTTGAGGTTCACCTACCTCGAGGACTATCCGTCCTTACAATCATAGTTTACATTCCCGGGGCTAACCCCGCCTTGAGGAGTACGCATACACCCTCATCCTATGTGTAATTTGCTGGAGGTTAACACACCTCAAGGACTACACGGGCCCTTGTTACTATATGCAATTTGATGGAGGTTAACACACCTCAAGGACTGCATTTGCCCTTGTTACCTATGTGTAATTTGCTGGAGGTTAACACACCTCAAGGACTACACGGGCCCTTGTTACCTACATGCAATTTGATGGAGGTTAACACACCTCAAGGACTGCATTTGCCCTTGTTACCTATGTGTAATTTGCTGGAGGTTAACACACCTCAAGGACTACACGGGCCCTTGTTAACATTTGAGCATAAAGGACTCCTCCTGGTCCTACAGAGTTTTACCCAACCTTACTCGGTCCCGGGTATTCACCCGCCATGTATAATCTACCACTTACCTCGCCCGGTCGTGGTCTAATTTCTTTACTAACGACTAGTCCAAGTCTTAGCGTTTAAACCGTATTTGAAGCCTTAGCAACCAATGTGGACGGGTCCCACCCCAACGGCCCACATAAACTTACTCAAAAACTGCATATTGGGTGTATTACCCAATACCCGGTCGGGTATTACCCATACCCGGTCGGGTATGGTGAGGCAGTAACTCCTGGTACCACTTCTAATTAATACCCGGTCGGGTATTTACCCATACCCGGTCGGGTATGGTGAGGCAGTAGCCTCTGGAACTGATTTTAGCTAATACCCGGTCGGGTATTTACTTATACCCGGTCGGGTATAGCCTTTGACTTGGCGGTCAACGCCCGTTTGACCGCACAAACGAAGTCCGATTTACGTGAAATTTTATACACATGTACTTCTTGACTTCCTCAATCCAAAAATACCTTTTTGGGTCCTTGGAACATCATACATAATTAATTATCACATTTTAAATCATCAAGCTTACTTAACATGCCTTTCAACTATATTTTACATATAATCATGGCATAACACATACTTGATTATCTTTAATCATTCAATAAAATATATTCTTGATTACTTTAGGTAATCTATGCCTCACTCAAAAGTTATAAAGCATAAAGCCATCTTCTCACAACTATTAATAAGTACTTCATACTTATTAATCGTTTATGTATTTCATTCTAGTTTATTCTTCATAACTAGATTTAATTTAATGACATGTATGATTAAGTACTTGAATCCTTCAAGAATACCATCTTGAATTACCTTAGTTAAATCATCCATGATTATCCTTTATCAAAAATATTAATAATTCTTTTACTCATTAATCGTGCCATTTTCACATAACTTATAATCATTATAGTTAATCACATGTTTAAACACTTTTAAACATTTCTATACATATTCACATACTAGATTACTCTAGTTACCTCATACATAGTCCATGTATGCATTTTTATACATTTGACAATGATATATTCATGATTAGTCCACAAATAAATCTCTTATTCAATATTTCCATAATTCATACTCACCATGACTAATCATGCATTTTAATCCATTTAATCATTTCTCAAATCATGATAAGGATTTTATTTAGGTAATCCCACGTTTGACCCAAGAGTTACAAGACACGTAGTCGTCCACTCACCTTGAAATGACGCTAGCAAGCTTTTATCTTCTTTGTTTGAACTCCGGCGACTTTTGAATTTTCCGGCGAAAACTCCGGCGGCTCCGGCGACTTTCCGGCCACTCCTAGGTTCCTTGAGAAGTCTAGAATACCTTGGTAAAATTCCTAACAAGGTTTCACAACCAAAAGTGGTATAAACGTCAAAACCTTCCGAGAAGGTGTTTTCCGGTGAACCGGTCTTACTCCGGTCATAACTCCATTCATGGTTAAACTTAACCCTCCAAACCCTCATACTACACCTCTATAAGTGTAGAACAAGCTTATGGGTTCATCATATGATTTATAAAATCATATGAAATAAAATGAAAGAGGAAAAAATAATAATGAAGTCATTACCTTGTTTTCTCCCTAAGTTTTCTTTACTTTCTCCACTCTTTCTTCTTCCTTGAGCATCCTTCTTGCTTGAGCTTGGTTAGAGGTTATGGAGATAAGAGGTTGTAGACCTCCTCTTGCTGTTTTGTGTGGTATGGCCGAACTAATGGGATGAGGATGGGGTGAGGAGGCTCTTTTGTCTCAATTGTACAATGAATGTGGGAGTGAGGTCCACTCAATGTCCTTTTGATGCCAACCCATTCAAATCACATACAATGCATCCCTCCATCACCCTCCATCCCACATCTCGGCTGTTTGGTTGCATAATTACGTGGGGTGGCCCCCACCCATGTGGGAGGTCATCCCAATGTGTCTCGAAATGTACATTCGGTCCCGAAAGTTGTATTTTCCGGACTGTTTTAATTAAATTTTATTTTATCGGGTCAAGTAAAATATATATCATTCTTCCAATTAATATTGGACTCTAAAATGAATATATATTACCCAACTTCAATTTAGTGGTCCCCGGAATTTATTTCGGGCTGTTATCTGATTAATTAGCTATACCGATAATGGGACCTTGTTTGATCGAAAGGCCAACTTTATGGCTCAACATTAATTTACACCATCATATAAATATTATCTAAACCAAGATGAATATAATATGTGGTTTCATATTTGGTGACACTTTAATAAAATGTTACACTTATTTTTAAGTGGTCCGAACTGTATGAACAAATAAAATCTTATCTGTTTATTCTTATACAAAATATCTCCAAGGTAGGGTCCTCCAAAAGTACCCACCTCTAACATGTCAAGTTGCTCATTATTATCCATCATCCCATGTTTTGGGTTCTTAAAATATTTATATTCCTTCTGTTATTAATTCGTAGCCTTCCCAATTATTATCAGTCCGATAATTAAAGACTCACAATTATTGGATAGTGACACCGGCCCGCTTGGCCGTCTAGTTGTCATTCTTTATATTACCGGGGTCCAGGAACCATCCATACTATCATAATAGTATCATTTTGATAAACATTAATATTTTATAAACTCGAAATATCATGAGTGGTCCCCACGTCTAAATTAATAATCCTTTATTAATTTAAGACAAAAATTTTACTTTCTCATTTATCAAGACTACTCTTAGCCTCGATTTACTTTCTTTAACCCAGTACTTGATGAAAAAAAATTTCTCACAGTAAAATTCGGGTCCGGTGTTACATTCCGTATCCTTTACATTCTGTCATTAAGAAGAGCACTACACTCATACCCCTGGGGCCTGGGATTTATTTAATCTCATTAGCTATTATCTATGCCACGTGTTTAATTATCATAACTAAAACAGTCATGGTTACTAAAAAGTTACTTAATTATGTACTCTAAAGTAACTATGGTGCAAAAGATATGAATGTCAAGGTTAAATGTAACACAAGCATTTTATTCTCTTGGGAATGTTGAATTGGTCTCCAATGATAAAAAAATTTTCAGCTATAAAATAAAAGAACTTTTCTGGACAGTTCGACCGCTGTCAAATTCCCTAAGCTACCACCATCAAGCACTGCCTTTTCTTTTGTGAATGGGTTGGTAGATACTATCGTACGTATATGAATTATATGAGTATATCATGTCCACGGTCAGTTATAAATTATAATATCTGTCTCTGGAAGAGGTCAACTGTTTGAACAGGTTTTATATTTGGTCTTCCCTTCTCGAAGAAATAAATATTCCATGGCTACTAACTATTTTGTGAGTATGGTGCTATGGCCTTGATTAGAACTGTGCATAAATATTCCTTTATATTAAGTGCAATATTTTGATGTTCATTAAGAGCTACTATTGCATGCAATAGTAGATACATATAGAAGAAACATATAAGTTCATCCTCTTCAAGAAGTTCTCTAAAGCATCTCAGGTATCATTTAGTTTTATTTGATTATCACTTCATTCTACATTTAAAGGGTTGAATTTGAGGAAATTTTGTTTTATTTAAGTTGACCAGCTTAGTGCTATTTTATGTTTATGCAATGCTCTCTCTAATATCGGCATTTTCATTTCTACATTTTTCCTTCTGCCACTACAACTCCCCGTCCACTGGTCTTTTGATTCTGCCGTTACAAGGATCAAGGAGAAGAAGGTGCAGGGGTATGGTGGTTGCGACGGCGCAATCTCCATTCTTTGAGGTCTTAAAGCCCAATGGTAGCCAAGGCCGATGCCTCTCCATTTTCCATCTTAACGCATAGTATCTGTTTCGTAATCTGTAGAATCAAAGATTAAGGTGAAGGCTATTTTTTATTCCGTCCTTGCAACTCTTGATTATGTCGCTGCAAGGGCTCAAGCACAAGAAGGTGCTGGGAACGGTGGTAGCGACGACTCGATCTTCATTCTCTGAAGTCTTAAACCCCAACGGTTGCGACGGCCGACGTCTCGCTGTTTTCCATCTTAACGCATAGTAGCTGTTTCCTAATCTGCAGAATCATAGATAAGGATAGATGAAGGCTGATTTTTTTAGAGGTTATATGTTTTCCTTATTATTTGAATTTAGACAATTTCCAAACCAATTATGAAAAAATCTTTAATTTTTTACATTTAATGCAATTTTATTTTATACAGTTATTTTTCTGCATGTTTTCCCCAAACGAAATTACTTTTGAAATCCAAAATCAAGCCAAGATTGATAATTAAAAAAAATCAATCAAATGTATTGTTAATTCAACATATGTACAAACTCCTAAGTCAAGAGACAATGCTTCCTAAATAGGAGTCCTACAAAGAATTGCATTCCTAATTCAATTCGGACGCATAGATAAATATTCAAGGCACAATTTACTATTAGGACGCATAGAGATTGTTTCTCATCGGCGAAGATCCATAGCTATTAGTTCATTTCGGACTTTTGGTCTGTCGCCTTCAAGTGCTACTATCTTGCTGTTGTTGTCCACAACACAGATCCAATCTGGTTGATGTTCAAGAATAGTTCACATTGAGGATATTTTCCTTAGGGCCTTCAAATTCTTGAAAATAACTCCGTGAGTTTATTTTGCAGGTACCCAGTGGGCATTGGATCAGTTATTATGCAAATACCCAGAAAGCAGTGATGCATAAAATCCGACATTTCCACCCCTTCCACCCCTGCAGTATCTGATACAGTCTTCATCAAACACAAATTCTTCGTGATGTACCTGTTAGAAATTAAACTTGGCTTAGCCCAATAAGTGGGTCCATTACAAGTTAACTTATTGGGCTAATAGTTGTATGAGAAATAATAAATTAGTTAGCCCATAAGTTAGAGTTAGTAAAGAAAGATCTAGAGTACTCTTTAGTTAATGTACTTATTAAATAATTCTAGAATATTCCTAAGCTAGAAGAATCCTATAGAACATTGTAGAATGCTTAGGACATAGGAGTGCCTAGAAGGATCCTATGAGACCTATAAATAGAGCACTCCTCACTCATTTGTAACACAAGTCAAAAAGCTCCAAATCAATAAAAGTTCCAAGTTCTCCCATAATCATCTCTCTCTAAAAATCCTCTCTTCCATACACAATCACCCAAATATAATACTCATAAACTACTTTCTTCCAACAAAGTGTTATCAGAGCCATCAACCCTTTCAAGAAAAATGAATGCCAAGTGCCAACGGCTTACTTCCATTCCAATTTCCTCGTCTCACCAAAGATAACTACTCTAGTTGGTGCATTCGCATGAAAGCCTTGCTAGGATCTCAAGATGCATGGGAGATTGTTGAGAAAGGTTATGAGGAACCTCAAGATGATGCTACTTTAAATCAATCCCAAAGGGATAGTCTCCAAAGGAGTAGGAGGAAGGATCAACAAGCTCTCACTCTCATATATCAATGCTTAGATGAGGCCATGTTCAAGAAGGTTGCAAATGCCACCACTTCTAAAGAAACATGGGAAATACTTCATAATTCTTTCAAAGGAGTCGACAAGGTGAAGAGAATTCGTCTTCAAAATCTTAGAGGTGAGTTCGAACAACTTAAAATGAAATATTCGGAATCAATATCCGATTATTTCTCTAGAGTGTTGGGAATTGTAAATGAGATGAAGAGAAATGGGAACTAAACGACATAACGGTGATTGCGAAAATCCTTCGCTCTCTCACCAAAGACTATGATTATATTGTGGTGGGCATAGAAGAGTCCAAAGATTTAGAGACCATGACCATTGATCAACTTATGGGCTCACTACAAGTCCATGAAGAAAGAGTGGTGAGAAATAAATCTGATGAAATATTGGAGCATTCTCTTTACTCCAAACTCTCTTTTAAAGAAAGAGGGGAGAATAGAGGTGAAGAAAGAGGCCAACGAGGTCGTGGTTATGATCGAGGCCGTGGTGCACGTGGAAGAGGTGGTCGAGGTGGTCGAGGTCATGGTTATACAAAATTCAACAATGAAGAAAGAACTCAATATACACAAGCATCTAGAGGCCGTGGGAGAGGAAGCAAACCACAAAGGTACGACAAGTATCAACTAAGATGTCATAATTGCAATAAGCATGGCCACTATGCATATGAATGCAAGAACTCTCATCATGTTAACGAAGAGGCACATCTCATGGAGATGAATAACGAGGTAGAACTTACCTTGTTAATGGCAAATCATGAAGAACAAGCGAAGAAGAGCACATGGTATTTAGATACCGGAGCTAGCAACCACATGACGGGAGATAAAAGTTTGTTCGTGAAGGTGGAACATACTCAAGGTCATGTTACCTTTGGAGATGAATCGAAAGTCGTGGTGAATGGTAAAGGTAACGTTCTAATCCGCCTAAACGATGGAAGTCATCAATTCATTTCCGATGTCTACTATGTGCCCAACTTAAAAACAAATATTCTAAGTATGGGACAACTCCTAGAAAAGGACTATGATATTCACTTAAAGAATCGTAGTCTTTCTCTACGAGACAATAATGGGAGACTAGTTGCTAAAGTGCCGATGACTAGAAACTGGATGTTCTTGCTTGATATTCAAAGAGATCAAGCCATATGCTTGAAAAGTTGCTTGAAAGACGAGTCATGGATTTGGCACCTAGGATACGGGAACTTGAACTTTGGTGGCTTGAAAATGCTATCATCCAAAGGTATGGCGAAAGGTTTTCCCTTCATCAATCATCCCGATCAGCTATGCGGAGGATGCCTACTTGGGAAGCAATCAAGGAAACCAATATCTAAAGAAG